GATTATCGCGAGAACGATTACGTTCTGTTTGGTAAACGAGAGGGATGAGGGAAAATATATATATTCGCTCCTAGTTAGGTAGCTTACCTTTGTACAGATAGCGCGCACATGATACTTAGTCTATGGAACTATCTTATGATTACTTAAAAAGTAAACGCACGCATCATTCATTGATGTGTCGCAAACAGAATCTTGAGAAACCTAAAAGCTAAAACAGAATATATTATTGTTAATATGTAGCTGAAAGGAAACGGATTAGTACGAGGAAACCATCAAGGATAATAACCAAATGGAACGAGCAAGCCAACGATGAGACCTGAGCAACATAACTACGAGACAGAAACATTCCAACGGTGAGATATAAACATACCAACGAGGAAGCGCTCGAGTATTATACGAAATACTCGAACGCTCTAACGAAAACAAATCGAACGAAAGTCGTAAAATTTGTCAAAGGAAAGATTTAGCCAAGGATGAGACATAAGTAAAGCATTCGAATATTATACGAAATACTCGAATGCTGAAACAAAGACAAATAGAATGAAAGAAATAAAATCTGGAAGAAGAAAAATAATTAGAACCTGAAAGAAGAAATTAATGTTAAATTATTTAAGAAAGCGGACAATGGCCACTGAATAGCCATTGATCTAGCCAACGATGATATGCAAATAAACCAACGACGAAGCATTCGCATATTGTTCAAAACACTTGAATGCATAAACAATGAAATCTAGAATAAAAGAAATAGAATCTGAAAGAAAAGAGAGATAATTAAAACCTGAAACAAAAAGGAAGAATATTAACGCAACCCCCCCCAAGTCGAACCGATAACTGGTTCGAGCCTGCACGCGGGCCCCTTATATAGCGGCGGCCGGCCGAAGATCGGCGAAAATTTCCGAACTTTACCGATTCCTTTAAAAGTTACATTTCCGCTGTCATAACTAATAATTTATTAACTTTTTTGACTTTTATCGTTAATATACGTTACAAACTATTTGTTAACAACAATTTTAATTTGCTATTGACAATAAATTTATTAATTTATTAGCTTTTTGTAAATTATGAATACATTTTAACACAAATACGTTGCTTATTTAAGTAGTAGCCAATAATTTATTAACTTTTTTGACTTTCATGGGTGACATACGTTACAAACTATTTGTTATCAACAACTTTAATTTGCTATTGACAATAAATTTATTAATTTATTAGTTTTTTGTAAGTTACAAATACATTTTATCACAAATACATACGTTGTTTGTTTAAGTAGTAGCCAATAATTTATTAACTTTTTTGCTAATTATAGATACATTTTCACGCAAATACGTTATATATACTACTAATAGCCTATAATTTAGTCATTTTTCACTTGAATTATAAATTTACGTTGTGACCAATTTGTTATTAAAAATAAGTGCAATAATTTTTACATTTTTGCAAATTATAGGTTCATTTATACATTGGTATGATATTTTTCAAGTGATAACCAACGATTTATTAATTCTTTTACTTTTATTATAAATTTACGCTATGAACAATTTGTTATTAATAAGAAATTTGATTATTTATACATTTGTATGAACTAAAACTGTATTTGACTGGCGTCATTGACAAAAATTCTGTTCACTTACATATCTCAGCCTCAAAAATCGTCGAATGTTCAACCAAAGTATCGAAAATTTACAAGAGGTAGGATATAGCTTAAGCTTTGTGCGTAGCTCTTAGCTTGGTATCGTTTTGCAAAGAAAAATCTTTTTCTTTCTCAGATTCTTCTTCAACTTATGCTTCTTTACCAAATGACAAAAGATTGAAATTTCCGTAACAAAATTTTTTATTGAAAAGAACAATACTATCAGGGCTAAATTCTGCAAACACATATGATTTTTACTTTACTGCTGCTGTTTTAGTTTTTGAATTGTATTTTACATCTTCACTTTCCTGCACTATTATTCTTGGTATAATGTCAGAAAACGGATAGTTCAATATTACAGTTTTTATCAATCTTGGAGGATAAAGTGGTCTATTATTCTACAAAAAAGGGGAAATATTATATTTATATCAATTCTTGACATATTTTCTCGTAAACATTAAATTTACCTCATCTACAAGTGCTTCTTCAAGTTTAAGCATGTCATATATAGTCTTTCCAGTAACTTTACCAAAGATCATATGTTTATTCTGCAAATCTGGTGTAGAATTAAGAGTAAAGAAGAATTGGGAACCATTGTCATCTTTTCCAGTATTAGCCACAGCAATTAAATCTCGTCGACAAAATCGTAATCTTGTATGAAATTCGTCCTAAAACACATACATCCAATAATTATTTTTGAATAAAAAAGGGAATTCATTTTATTTTTAAATATAGTCTCACTTTAAATAGTTCTCCATATATTTTACCACCTTCTCCTGAACCTGTGGGATCACCACCTTGTGTTATGAATCCTTTGATAATTTTATGAAATATAGTGTCATGGTAATAACCTTCTATACATAATTGTATAAAATTTCTACATGCCTTTGGAGTTTGTTTTGCCCATAATTCTAAATCAATATCACCAACAGTTGTTTTCATTGTAACCTAGTTATGGCAAATATATTAGCTTTATTAATGTAAAATACTTTTAAAATCAAATTTATCAAAATTTATTATTTAATATTGTAATTTAAATTAGAAATTATTTAATATATTAATATAGAAATTTAGAAAGTAAATATTGTGTATCAGTTAAATTTTTAAAAACAGATTTACAGTCCATTGAAATATTATTAACTAATAATTATTACTACATCCTTCGTGGCTGGCTCTTGCATATAAATGTTATTCATATTTGTAAGTCCCGTATAATAAAAAAAATTCATTGTCAATAATATTTCATATTAAATCTTTAGTTATTTATAAATCAGATAATCAAATGGTTCTTTTCTCGAATAATCATCAGCAGCATAAGACGTACCTTTTACCTCCTTTTAACGTTGAGTTTATTGGCCCAATCAATACCATGTGCAACAGCCCCATTATTCCTGTTGCTTTTATAGTTTCTAAATTCCTGTAGATATTTCTACACATTTGAACCTTAATGCAATATTTACACTTTATATTCAATTTATTTTTAATTTTTATAAGTATCACTAAGTGTTCATTCTCCATCCCTTTAATAACCCTTATATTAGCATGTCCATGCAACACATTCTTCTCTGTTGATATATATCCTGCCTATTATGGCTCTACACTGGTCATATTCCACGAGTTCAACATTTCTCTACTGTTGCACGTGCTCGTTTACTTCAATGGACTATTGCCCGAATTTCCACTACGTTGTGGTACCGAACAAAATCTAATCCAAAAGCCTAATTCCGGAAATAGAAGCGAAAAAAGTAAATTGCGCAGAGCGATCTGACAGCCACAGACACTTTCGTCACTATTTTTCGAAAACGCATGTTTGAAACCAAAACGAAATATGTAATCCCGTTAAGGAACAAATCCCTCTACAATGATATATAGAAAAATCCGAATCCAAAAGTCTAATTTTGAAGATAGAAACCAAAAAAGTAAACTGCGCAGCACGATCTGACAGCCACTGATACTTTCGGCATTATTTTTCGAAAACACAAGCTTGAAACCGAAAAAAAATATCTAATACTGTTAAAGGAGAATTCCCTCTACGCGAATATATAGAACAAACCTAAACAAAATGCCAAATTTCGGAAATAGAAGAGAAGAAAGTCTATTATGCACCACGATTTCACAGCCACAGATACCTTCGTCATTAAATGTCGGACACAAATGGTGGAAATCATAGAAAAGTCGGCATACGATATAAAGAATAGCCTAATCAATGCTATTATAGTGAAAAAACCTAATCCGGAAGCCTAATTACGGAAATATAAATGATAAAATTGAACTGTGTAACACGATTTCACAGGCACTTGCTGGTATGTCACTTTATTTCATATGTGCACCTTCACTTTTCTCCACATGTGGTGTTTTACCACCGAACAAATGTTCAGTTATTTATCCTCTTCTCGGTAAAGTTGGCTCAGTTTCTTAATCTTGTGTGTCGTCCTTTCGAACATATCACGACGATGTTACAAATGTCGTTCAATGATCCGAAATAATAACTGATACTGCGTATTATTATTCTTGAAATTTGTTTTATCAGTTGAAATAATTGAAAGACTGATCAAGGATAACACTATTCCATGAAACGTTTTGGTCAGGGACTGAAAATTTCACTGTAACGCATGCAAATATTCCACCATGTTTTACCGTCGTGTTGGATCGCGTCGACTAGAAATGTTCTGTAATTGGGCAAAGCTGGGCCTCGTTTTCGTGGGAAGATGCTTCGTCTTTGAAATAGCCATGTGCAGAAGTATCGAAGTAAAATATCAAACGATGTTTCTTATATTTATTAATATGAATGAAGCAAATATAAACATATTTCTGTTACGAAATATTCCAAATTTCTATAATTAAATCATGAACTTCAATTATTAATTATTCCGTTATACCAATGGAAAGATAAACCATTAGTATATACCGCAATAGCTCAAACGCTCTATGTAATAAGCACCAATAATGCTATGTTATATGCAAAAGTACGTTTTATTCACTTTGAAAGTTTCACATATAAACGTTAATTGTTAACGACATAATAAACAATGACATATAGACATCAGAAGCTGAGTAGATGTCCGTATCACGGACCGTTGCGAGACAAAAAAATGTTTCGTAATACATATCACGTAATAATTATCATAATGACCGCATATATATATATGTAACAATATTTATAGACATATACAAACTACTGCAAATGATTCTATTCAAATATATGAGTTATCCTAATAATTCTACATATTGATTTATCTTGCATCTATCTCTCTTATCGTGTATCTCCTCGGCTTTCTCCCGTTCTAAACCTCATAAGTTCTTTATTCCCTATTCATTTTCCTTTATATCTTTATCATCTTCAACATCATCTATTTTATAATTTTCTACTTTCTTCGATTCCTTTTTTGTATCTCCCAATTTATTTTTTATCCTTTCCTTCATTGTCGGAGGAAAGGATTTCCTTCATTTCTTTCTTTCCACTATCAGCTAACTTCGCTGCAACACATAGTAGTTACTGCAAAAAATTGGGATTATTCTCATTGCATGTACATTATAAGTACATAGGCACACGACATGCGATAGACGAATAATATCCTATTGGATAAAATATGTCCACAAGAACAAATATCAAAAGTAACTTCGTACATTAAATTATTAAAATGTTAGTACATATTACAAGTTTCTAATGTACATATTTTGCTATTTATTCATTACAAACATGCAATACAAATATTAAATATTAATTTATATCAATTAGATTTTATATTAAAGTAAATAGATAAAATATACAATGGAATTAATAATATTGGATTATATAAAATATAATATATTATGTATTTTTACGCTCTTTTATTATTATTAAGCATAGTCATAATTTTGCAAATATAGTCAGGTATATATCTAACTATATATATATTTAATATATTCATTGCATAACGATTACTCATGGCCCATGAAAGGTAAAAGTATAGTTTTATGTCAATCACCGGTACTCGTCATAACATGAATGTGTTAATTTTGCGCTTTTATGTTCTTAAACATGAAAAATAGTAATCAAAACCATTTTTTTTATATTACATCCAATATTTTTATCATTTCTTATTTCAAAAGAATAAAGTTCACGTATGATTAATGCAAACATAAAGTATGCCACACCAAATATCACACGATAATTCCTGTTTTAATATACCAAATTTTTTATAAATACTAATATCGGAAACACTGTTCATAAAAAAAATGGATAAATGAAATAAGTACTTCATCAGCCTTGGATAAATCTCTTATTTTGATCAATATTTACTTTGCTTTTGCATATGAACGAGATCTTAGATTTTTCTTAGTAGCCTGATCAACTTCTGGTAGATCATCATCCTCAGACATGGCAGATTTTTTCCCTAAATAAAAATTAATTTCATATTTAAAAGTAAAATTTTTCATGTAAATGAACGAATAACAAATTTTTGAATTTTTCCTCACCTTCTTTTCTTTTCGATTTTTGTTTTGTTTTTACTGTTGTTTGGACAGGAACTACATTTTCACGGGCACGTTTAATTTGCCTCGAAATAAATATATAAGAAAGATATACTTGAAAAATAATAACAGCGCTCAAAGCAGTGAATCTTATAATTGGAATATTAAAATTTCCAGTAGCAAAATCAAACACACTTTCAACTTGACCTAATCCATACAAAAACACTAGCATTGCAATAGCCAGTGTTGCAATGCGAATGACAACATATGTTGAATTTGCAATAAGGAATGCCACTACAATAAAACAATTTCAAGAGATTATTAAAAATAAATTGTCTTATATAAAACAGCAAATAAAATATTGATGACATTATATTTACTTTTTGTCACCTTTTCCTTTTTGCCAACAAAATGGATAAGTCTAGTTCCATGAAGCATAACATCTCCTATATAATGTAGAACCAATAATAAGATTCCTACTTGTTGAAAACTGTAAGGAATAAGTAAGTATTGAAAAATATGATTAATACTGGAAAAGAAGAGATAAGAAAGTATTTCATACTTAAAAACATAAGCTGCAAGAGTAAAAAATAATCCAATAGTTGCTTGTACAGCTCGAACTGGTATATCTTCCTTTTTTACTCTTTGAAAATATAATTCAGGATAACAGTGCAACCAATAAGCAAGTTGCCCAATAAAAAACAATTTTGAGGAGAAAGACATTGGTATAGGGTATTCCTTCCATAATGAAGTTATGTTCAACAGTAGATCTTCCCTGAAAACATCAAATGAAAGATCATACAAATTTGCATTATGTTTAACTACATGAAGAACTATTATAATTTTATGTAACATCATGTATCTCCTACCTAATAATTATGTCTATAGCCCACATAAGAGATAATACATAAAACAGAACAAGTTGACTAGATTCATTGAATTTAGCAAGTTTTACTTTGCTAAGGTGTAAACGTTTTGAAACTTTCTGAAAATATATGTAAATATTAAAGATAAAAGTAATATATAAAATAAATGGATAAGTCTTTTATTCTTACATCAATGATATATTCTTGAAATACAGCATGCATTACAATTGTTATCAAAAGAGAGAAAAATACAACACATGCATCTTTCCAACCAGTAGTATATTTCGTTGGCATAGTTGGATCTTCAGTGTCTGAAGTTACATTGTGGTGAATAGCAATAAATGTATATGCCCATCTTGCCTAAAAAGTAATTTGTGACTAATAAAAGAAGTAGAAGTATACATATTATATGGAAAGATAAACAAGAATATTGTGTTACACTTTTCCTTAAGTTTAATTTATTACATTCATTTGCATTGATTAACAAGTACTGCTAATAATAAATAACATATGGTTATTATACTAATAGTAATTGAAATAAAAATTAGATATAAATTATTCACTGAACCTTATTCGAATGAAATAATCATATAGCATAAAAGAGAGTAACCAAAATATGAAAAATATATATGTTACAATAAAAATGTCACTCATATTGAAAAAATTCAATACTGACCTGCACCATTAGGCCCGTTACGAAAATCAGAGCCACGAGAGAAACAAGATCTCCATGATTTTGGATAATATATTCATGACTGAATACAGGAGGATTTTTATTTGAATTTTTGCGACCTTTTATCGCAACCATTTTTCGTAACAAAGTACTGTTTCTATGATTACACACTGTTGATACTTTACTAAAGTATCGTATGTCAACGACTCACAGTACTGCCATCAAATAATTAAACGTGTACCCAATTATACCAATAACCAACACACACACACACACACATGCATATGGGCATACCAAAGGCGCAGCGATTAAAGCAATACGGCCAACAACGAACAATGTGGCGCTTTCTGTCTTTACTTGTTGGCACTACGTAAATCAGAGCAACATTAAAAAAATGTATTAAAGCTATTGGTATTTATGTACTGTTAATATTGTCATAATATTAATTTGCAGTTTAATTTTTTGTATTTTTTGTATAATAACAATTTTAATTAATGATGCTTTATGCATTTTTATACGGATGTTCTGTCGTTTCCAAGTGCGACGATCATAATACAAACGCAACGGTATTCAAATTTCTATAGATAATAAATTATTCACATATTGTGTGTAATATAAAATTGATAAATACGATAGTGTTACTATTAAATCACATAACAGGAAACTTTGTAAGATACACTTTATTGATAGTATTAGGTACATTTTCAGTGGTCACGATATTCTTATACATATTCATATGCATATGTTGTTAAAATTATGCAATTACCACAAATATTTCATGAAACTTTAAATACCTATCGGTAAATAAATATGATACTATTTATGTGGCGGTAAAGAAAAAATACATATTCAACAGTTTAATGTCAGAATAAAATAATTTCTAGATTTCATATATATTATGCCAGAGATAACTGTAAAATTCATTGATCAACAATGAGTCGAAAATATACCTCTGTAATGGTAAAAATAATACTCTTCCAAAGTTATATCTTTATTACATTATTAGTTTATCATTAATGGTATGATATCAACGCTTATGTGTTTGTACATTACATGTTATTAACATGATTAGCAATGGAGCACATGATTTGTCTGCTCTGCTGTGCTTAAATAAACTCATATGAGATATGATAAAATTCGGAATTTACACGTAAAGTTGTACAAAATACATTTTGTGTGTATATATGTGTGTGTGTGGTGTGGTGTGGTGTGCAATAATCTCATTTTTATACGGAAAGGCGGACCTACGTACCTGCTTTATTATTATTATTTTTCTTTACCTTTCCTATTTTAATCTTTTACAATTTTCTTTAATCATATTTTTTATCATCCGCCCTTATTTTAATAAATGTTCGCGTTCAAGTGCAATTTACATTCTGTTCTCATTGACTAGGCCACAATAAATTTATATTTTTAACAATCATACATAATGTTTGAAAGCAATACAAAGGGAATATTTTCGAATTATTATAATTTCTTTAAGAATTATCTTTATAGAAGTTTCATTTATCTATAATATTGTTGTACTTGTATGCTTGTCAACATCTATTGTCTCAGTATTTTGCTAAATTATTTGCATCTGTAGCAACAATTTTAAATAATCTTTTAACGTATAATCTTCTTTCCTTAAATACACATGTAAGTGTAATAATATAGTTTAGGATTCAATTACAAATATATATTATATTGTACATTAGATGTAATGTTCTATGTCATGAGAAGCTGTTCTTCATATCAATTAAATATTTTGTATCTTGTTGACTTATACGAACATGTTTATATTTAAAAAGCTAAATGATAACTCGAGGTGTGACGGTCTTTTAAAATTGTAACATTGTTGATCGACGCACAACTTGTATTTTATATTAAATGGACGTGTCAGTCAGTTTCTTGAAAATGTTTTTTATACATCTTTTAGATGTATCACCAACCTTTAATTAACGTTATCCCATATTAGGAATATTCATCAAATTTTTAAAGATGAATAAATTTATAAAGTATGATCGATTTCATTAAAACAATTCACTTGATCGTAGACTTTTGTAGAAATAATATGTTTCTACATTCAAAAAAACAATTTCGAGTTTAATATTTGTACGACTTGTCGAGATGGATATATGATAATACACGAGTACAATAATAACACGAATTAAATCTAAATACTCCCTGTGGTCACAAGCCTTAAATCTTAGCAAAACCTTTTAACTTTATATGCAACCAGTAAGACTTAAGACTCTTTAATTTGCCCTAAGTATCGCTCATCGTTGCAAACTATGTTTTGAGGTAGACAAGTATATTCTTCGAATAGCTTTTCATAGCTATAGGTAAAGCTAAATCAAATGATAAGTTTCCATTAAAGAAAGATGCCATATTATGTTTAATTTTATATCTTAGTAGACCACAAATATAGCCTAGTAGATTTACTCGCGAACTCGTAAAGTAGCCATGAAAGCTGTAATTCGATTCTTAGTGAAATGTGTTAAAAATGTTCGTAAAATCTAAGACTGGAAGCTATTGCGCTCGAATGTCGTATAGAGAGATTAACGTCATTAATTGCATTCATTTTTATCATCATAGTTGTATATAATTATGTTATCTTGAATGCTGCTTAATTATATTATAACATTTAAACGTTGTACATTACGTTAATATTTATATTTTCATTTGTTCTATTTTCTGTGTATAGTGTGTATGTGTGCGTGCCATTGGTAATGACAACAAACATTTAATACCATTCAATATATGAATATAATCTTTAGTTCTTATCAATGAAAATGCTATTTAGGTGTCTTAGTACCTGTTTCATTTTCTTATATTACTAACATATAACTTACCTTCACGTTTCAGGTACTATCTTTGTACCTACTTCTTACTTAACTTTAAGTCGCAATTAAAATATATAAATTTAGTATTTTTTAAACAAAATATTAATCTGTATTCTTGATTGTGGCAATAATGTGCATTAATTTCCTATTTATTAAAACAGTTCATATTTAGGAGATTAAGTTATTAACACGTATTTTGTTATTGGGTAACTGAATGTATAAACAATAGATGTTCATATGTATATATTGCGACGTTTTGCCAATCGCCAACATAGTTGACCTATGTTAAATCTCGCAGAACATTGAATTTTACGATTGTGTATCTAAAGTTTGATATTTTTTTCTCATATAACAACGGACCATAATTATCATAATGCCATACAATACTGTTCAAGAAAATCTACAATTAACAGTGCATATTTATGGAACATTACCTTTCACCATATATACATGTAATTTATACAAGAGAATCATTATCAAGATCCATTTCTTCTACGGTGATATAAAGTCCTTCCTCTTCATATGTGGATTCATGTTTTGCTAAAACTTTTAGTAATGGTCGCAATTTCATCCACCATTGATATGTTGGAATGCGATGCCTGGAAATTTTATTTTATCATATTAGTGAAAATTTTCAATACATATTAATATTAATGTGTTTTCGTTGCTCACTCAAAATCCGTCACTTCGAGGAGTTCTGTAAAGGGTGTAAATCTATACTGTCTTCGCACAATACCAATCATAACTGCACTATCAGCATCCATCGTTGTTATTTTACTGTCTGCATTAGAATATTTTTTTAGTTGTTCGGTAAACCATTCAACTGCTTTAGAACCCATTTTTGTACCCAAATTTCGATCGAATGGAGTCGGTGAACCACCTTGCTGCATGTGACCTACAAGAAATTTTTTAATTTACTATTTATTATTATCTAAAATGTTAAATAAAATAAATTATTTATTGAACATGTACCAATAATATTCATTCTACAGCTGAACAGACCCTTTCCTTCTTCACTAAAGAGTCTCTGCATAAAATCTGTACTGTAATTCAAATTAGCACTTTCATTTCTTAAAATAAGCCCTCTCTGTACACCTTCAGACATTTTCGCAGCCATTGCAATGACATCTTGATTTAAATCTTTAATATTAAACTTTTCTTCGAAAATGTACGCTGCATCAGCTCCTCCAGCTAACCCAGCTACAGTAGCTAAATAACCACAATATCCACCCATAGTTTCAATAATAAATACTCGACGCTTTGTACCCTGTGCCGATTGACGGATTCGATCACAGATCTAAAAATAACATAAGTACATTGACGAATTGGCATTTTGTCTTAAAATATCTTTATTATGAAATAATACATACAATACATGAAATCTTACCTCTGTAATTTCATTTAAAGCAGTATCACAACCTAACGAAAACTCGGTTCCTGGAACATTATTGCTAATAGTTGCCGGAATCATAGCAATAGGAATTCGAAATTCTTCAAATTTGTCCCTAGCTTTAAAGAAGGTAAGTCCTGTTTGATAACCCTTTTAAAAAACAGAAACAAAATTATATGATTATAATAAACAATTGGCTGTTTTGAAAACTATAGCTTATAAGTGATCTTAAAAGACCACTACCTCGAATCCTCCTATAATAAGCAAAGCTTGAATTCCATATTCTTTGAGTTTTTGAGCAATTTGCGGTAATTGATCTTCCTTCGGCGGTGTACGTTTAGTTCCTAAATAAGCACCACCTTGTGCTACCCAGCCAGTGACAGAAGGCCAATCCATTAATTTAAATTTTCCAGCCATCAGGCCAAGTATTCCATCACAAATACCATAAACCTAAAAAAAACTTGAGATCTATAAAATATATCATTATAAACGAATGTACTAATTTTTAAGACAGTACCTTGTCACCTCGATAAATACAGTTTCTAACGAAAGATCGCACCGCAGCATTCATACCGCAAGACGGTGAGCCAATATGCATTACGCCCAACGTATAGTGATCCTATAACAAAATTTAGTTTTAACATTCTGGTAGAATTTCATATGAATTCATGCAGCGTGCATATGAAAAAACAAACATATTCTGTTTAAGAAGCTTTAAAATGCTTATATTTACGTCTATCCTAGCAGAAATATTTGTTTAATTTAAAAAGAAAAAAATTATGTAATAGCATCGAAATTTAAAAATTTGTCAATTCACTTATTTACATAAAGTGAATTGTTAATTTAGAAAGAAAAAACGAAAATGTTATAAAAGCTGTTTCACAAAGCATCAAAATTTGATATGTGGCAAAAATATATACACTCATAGTTGTTTTTTTTTCAACACAGATTTACCTTTGTTAATGTGCGGCCTTTAATTTCCTGAAGCAATATTAAATAGAAGATATAATAAAGGTAAATCTCGATTTTTATTATGTACTAATTATCAGAACTAAAAGCCTTCTGATGCTTTCTGTGGTTCATTATGTATTTACTCGAATTATTTAAAATTTATTTTTAATAATTATCTATCTAAAAGTTTAATAGAAGGCTTTAAGTTCATGTTGACGTTTATATTACTTATATAAGTGCAACATACCTTACTAGGATCGTAATCTACAGGTGCCTTTAGACGGGTAAGCATCTTATATGTTTCTAAATTACGAGCAAATCCCCTAAAAACGTGTATAAAGTGTATTAGAATAAAATTTTAATTCAAATATATAGTATTGAGAATTTTAATACTTCAGCGTACTTTCCACGAAGTTGAACAGCAAGATCCCAATTTTTATCTGCCATAGCTTGTGCTACAGCTTTAGTACGACGAACACATTCCATAAGAGGTAATCTAACAGCTTGATTGCCATCCAGTGAAACAACACATGCTTCAGTGTCTGGTGTTGCTTCCATTAATGCCATTACTGCTTCTGCTCCCATTCGACATCCCTATTATTAATAAATTTACTATTAAATTAATACAATATTTTTGCTTCCAATATATTATCAAAGAAATTATTTCATGGTATTGGTCATACTAATATAATAACTAACCAGAACTCTATCAAAAGCTGATGGATTACCGCCTCTTTGAACATGACCAAGGACGGTAATCCTTGTGTCTTGCTGCAACTTTTCTACAACAACTTGACGAACCTTTTCTGCAGTAATCGGTTCGCCATTTCTATCTACCGCACCTTCCGCTACAATAATAATATTAAGTCGTTGTCCAGTGAGTCTTTCCTGAAAAATGCATTTTATAATTATTATATTTCTTTATACTTTTTAGCTGTTATAAATTGGTAGATATATATAAATATGAAGACCGTTTACAAATTAAATTTAATTCAAAAAGGAACAAACTGAAAATAATGAAGTAAATAGCAATCCAAAAATTTCTGACATTAAAATTTAATCTTATCATTTAAAGATTAAGTGATTAATGAAATTTAAAAGTAATTAAACAATATTATTTATTATGGGACTCATTAAATGAGCATAATATTGTACTCCAACACAGTATAAAATACAATTATAAACAAATTATAATGGACTTACCAATACAAGTAAATCAAAATCAAAATTAAAATATCTAATATTTTTCCTCTAACTAGTAAAACAGAAAGAACATAAATTTCAAGCAAAACATTGTTATGTGATTGTAACACTACAATCAATGACACATATAGATAATGATACAGAACCATTTAAAAAATTATAATAAACAAATAAATAAATAAAAAAAGGGAAGGATTTGCCAACCTGTAACAATTTTTTGCATAATTTGTTTGGCCAGTCCTGTTCAGGTGGCCACTCTGGGATGAACACAAAATCAGCTTCACAACATATGGCTGTTACTAGAGCCAGGTAACTGTAATAGCATGTTAGAAAAGCAAGCTAAAAATATTACATTACAGAAATCATACACTATAGTATAGTAAAATGATGATTTGCACTTTGGACTGACAAGAATATAAACACGATAATAAAGTGATGTTACTAGTAAAACAGTACAAAAATACAAAATTTCTAAAAGTTTATGTTTTTATAATAGGGCTTTACTGCTGAAAAGAATTTGCAATGTAAATGGCCAGAAACTATTTTTGCATATCTTAACTATTTTGGTAAAGGAGCAGACACATATGTAATGTAAAACAAAATAAATTTAATACTATATAGTCTGCCTAACGAATTTTGCATTATAGGAAAGCATGACTTATTAAGTAAAATATAATGATTGATCGAAGACGTGCCTGTCGCACCGCTTTGCAAACCTCCTCAATCCAATCACCAGTCGGCGGTACTTCAGGTATAAAGCAATAACATGCTTCAGAAGATAAACTTGACGATAATGTTAGATACCTGAAAGACTGTACTTTCTTCATCATGTTCACGCGATATTAAATTACTTTATTAAAGTATATTCATGTCTTAAATTAAAAAGTCAATTACAAATGAATTTTTTGACTCATTTAATTTAATATTTAACTGAAAGAGTTAGAGTTGCAACACTGACATCATAATTAAATAATCAAAAATACACAAAAAAAGGAAAACAAATTGTTGAAGTTGTTAAATTAAGTTAGCAGGGAAACAACACTGTAACAATAAATTTAGAAAATTCCTAAACAACGTGCCTGCTCCAATTTTTTACATAATTTATCAGGCCAGTCAGCAGGAGGTGGTGACTCCGGACAGAAAACATAATCTGCCTCTGCAGATAAAGCACCCACAATTGCCAAATACCTATCCAAAAGGTTGTTAGATTTGTAAAGAATAATACGAAAATAGATGTTTTTTTAATTCATAAGATATTATGGCTGAATTTTTTTCTATTGAAAAATACAACTCTTTTTTAAACATAACTATATTCTTAATTTCCTTCCTTTATTTTCAAAACGAAAATATTTGAGATTTGACATTTCACTAGTTGCGGGTAGACAACTTACCCGCAATGTCGACCCATCACTTCCATTATAAATGTCCTTTGATGAGAATATGCAGTACTAACAATGGCATCGATACTTTCGATAATACGATGTAACGCAGAATCCGTACCAATAGTCATGTCGGTTCCACAAAAATCGTTATCAATGGAACCTACCATACCAGAGATATGTAAATGTTGGTACTTATCTGCTTGTTCTGAAGTAATTTCTCCTAAATAGACAAAAATAATAAAATAGTAATGTATATATAAATATATAATATGGAAATAAGTTTTGTACCTATACTGTTTTTCACTCACCTGCTTCAGCTAATTCTTTTAATAGGTCTGGCCATTCTTCTTTAAACAGATTTGCACCAGTAAGTGAGCCATCACCACCTATTACTACTAAATTGGTAATTCCACGAGTTACTAAATTTTTTGCAGCTCTCCTACGACCAGCACGTTCCCTGAAGTCTTTGCATCGAGCAGATCCTATTACTGTGCCACCCTAAAATACGTCATTGTAATACTTTTTATTGATCTCAACAAAATGCATAATAATCAAAATACATACTCTATGAATGATACAGGAAACGGATGACCAATTAGCTTCCACAATATTATTTCCACCATCTACCATACCCTGATAACCTTCTTTAATGAAAAAGACTTTACACCCTAGATAAATACCCATTCTAACAACTGCTCGAACTGCTGCATTCATTCCTACAAAATAAATGTTATTATTGAAATGTAAATAATAAAATATCAATCAATATATATTTTTATTTTATTCTAATTAACTAATTTTTTACCTTGAGAATCACCTCCACTGGTAAAGACTGCTAGACCTTTACCTTTATGACTACCAGGTTTTATAAACCTTTGTGCTGCTAAATCTTCTGCCATTTTTGATGCAGGGCACTCGTATTTCTGGAATATAACTTTCTTTCTAACTACTACCTTGATTTTAATTTAATCTTTTTTATAAGAATACATCATACATTTAAAATAATTTGTTTTATTAACAAATATTCATCAGCTTATCTCTTTCATTATTACTGCAAGAACAAAATATATATTTCTATCACTAATAATTTAGTTTGGGATCATTCTTGTTAGCACAAAAAAAATAAACCAAGAATATAATAAGCCAAGATACCTTCTCCTATTTATATCACCTTTCCATCAATGTATGAAACATGAAAAGTATATATTAAAGAAATGTGCTATAACCATAATATTTTCAACTCACTTGTGGAAAAATCATTGATATTTCCAAGTTTTGAACATGTATTTTCGTTCTTTCATTAGTGCAACTTTCATCTATGGGTAAAACTGTTTTACTCATAACACAAACATTTGTTTCTGTACCTTTTAATAAATTTTGTTCTTTTTCATCTAATCAAAAGAATTTATATTATTTTTCAAAATTCTTATTTATATTTTAATAATGAAATAAATTTTATAATTTTAATATATTACTTTGTATTAAAATTAAGGAATGAGAGCAAAGATTTTCATCTTTTAATTTATTTGCGGCTGTGCAAATGCATAACATGTCATCATAATTCTCAGACATGTTTTAAAAAATAAATACACAAGATTTTTAAACAGAAATTAAAAAAGTAATTTCTTATATCCTACTATAAAATATATAACCTAAAATAACATAAACTATTAACATTGTAAACTATATCTATTGTCATCACATGAATATAGCTTTTAGTTAACTTAAGTAACTTAAGTAACTTAAAAGAATATTTGTATAATAATAATAATTACTTTTCCATATACATAATATATTCTTCACATTACAATGAACATTGTCCTTTTATAACATAAAAGTGAACATTATATCTATAGCTTAATTGTATCTGATTAAAATTATAATCCAAGAAAATAATGATAAGTATACATAAAACGTAATCTTAAAAAAGATTGCAACATAAAACGTCTTCGGTAGTCCTTCGTATTTTAAAATAAAATAGCATGTGTTTAAAGAATCAACGGAATCCTGGCACAGTCTCAAACTACTGTGCATCAAAACATCAGAACGACGATGATGGGTACAGATTACATTATTAGAATTAGATTATTTAACAATATCTTGGTGTATGAGAACCGAGCGCCAAGTTAATTTAAAAATATATATAAGTTAGTTAGAGTTAAAATAACTAAATTCATTCAAAAAGTAATAAAAAATAATAGTCTCTCGTAACATGTACACAAGGTAACGTCACCCTGTCACTGACAACTGGTCACTAAGTTATTTATTATTTGCAAAAGATATTTCAAAAAAATTAAATGCTTTTCAACTTACCTAATACGTATATGTAACCAATTGTAATGACAATTGGAAGGGAAATAATTATCTTCTAATATTTAAGTTGCCTGTACTTAAAGATTCCGTGGTAATCAAACTTAACGTCAGACACCACTTTCGTGTCGAGTCCGACTAAAACTGAAGGTGACCTTTACGTGTGTTCAGCACATCACCCCCACCACTAATATTTGTTAACTCCACACCCCACTACTTCCTATGTAGAATTAAATTTAGAAAACGGCCATAGATGGTGTTAGCGGTACATATGATGACAACCAATACGACGCCTTCTTGTAGCCTCGTTTAATTCCTGAAAACTATTTAAAATTTTACTTACTATAAATTTTTATAATATTATACACTTTTATTTTTGTTAAAATCAAATTAATTTAGATATGGCTTACTATATGCAAATATTTATCGATATGTTTAATAAAATTTTTTCTACGCCTACTCTTTTGTTGTACATTTTAAAATAATAAAGCGTACCTTAATTCAACCATCATTTTCGCTAGATTGTTATTGACATACGACCGTTCGAAGTTAACGCAATTCACTCTAATAATAATCTGAGACAAAATGAGCCTTGAACGTCAAATAACAATATTTTTACGCTTGTTCTAGTAATGAATCATTTAGTTATTTTTATTTTTAATCACGTCATTTAAAAGTACAAAGATCGAAATACTTATGTTTCTTATACCTTTCAACAAATCGAGATTTCGTCAGCCTTTAATGAAAAGCTTTGATGACGACTTATACATACAATGATTAATCAACAGTCAGGTTACAAGGTAATGAATAATTTTTCATTTTTAAATAATTGAATTAATAATAGTGCCGAAAATAATTATCCTTCGTAAAGTAGATATTACTATTAGACATTTACAGTGTAATTTTAACGTTATGGTATGTAAGAGAAATTATATTGCATTTGCTAATTCATTTTCGTAAGAACTGAAAAGAAGTTATATTTCACTCACCTTGTACTCCTTAATTCTTGAAAAATCATGCATCAATAATTTATTAGCATCCTTTAAATTTTATTTACGGGTTAATTTCAATCAAAATTTGTTACGTATTTTTACTTTAATCCTAATTCAATGTTTATTACTTGTTGATCGATTAAAACGGTGTTAGTCTGGTCTACACCAATTAGGTCAACGTATGTGTAGCAGTCTTACGGCCGTAGAACGGTGAAACAAATCAATTATTGGTTATGGTACGCATTTCATAATTTTCTTAATCTCAAGACATATTTGACATAAAATACGAGTGAGCGAAGAATATAACGTTAAAATATCACGAACTATTATTCAATTGATCCAATTCTACGCAACCGATTGCATTTGAGAAAGAGAGAAAAAAAAGATAGAGATTAAGAAGAGAAAATTGAAAGAAAATACGAAGCATCTATCTATCAACTATGACGATCCCTAAAATTTGTAGAAATTTTGAATAATTATAGTAGATTCTTTTACTATGAGGAAGGAAACAAATAATATAAGTAAAAAATACCTAAAATAACGCGATAAGAATACAAGGATCTACTACACATCGATACTTATTAAAAGCCAACTAAATTTCTATATTTTTGTAGACGAATATACAAACATATACATTTTGGTATAAACTTTGAAAGTTAGTAAGATGTACAAAGACATCGCGAAACTATTGAACAGCTACGTTCTTAATTTTAATATAGATTACCAAATTGTTGAAACACTGTTTTTGCTTTTATTTCAAATTGGTTAAGTTAAGTAGGTAGTGTTAATACACAATCTGTTTCATTTAAAACCAGTCCCCTCCACTTCTAGGCGTTTATTCGTTGGAATTAGCATCGAAAATGATATCAATTTCCGTTTCATATCCAATTGAACCTAATATTTTATCTATTTTCTAATTTTCTTCAATATATGCGATGACTTTCGAATCAGCGTTACTGAAGATAATTATGACAAAACTAGTGAACATGAAAACGGTAATAATAATACTAATTGTAACGAAGAATTCTTATTATATAGGAACATTGTGCTTATGTCTGCCTAGCCTCTCAAATGAAGTTCTTGAAATCTTAAAATGTTTAAAATACTGTTAAGAATGTAAATGTTACATTACGTTTTTGGAATTATTGACTCAATATAGAATATATGACTCTCCCAGAACCTGATAATACTGCAAAGCAGGACAATCGAGGTTATGGCTTTTCTTTTTTCCGAGACATTTTATCAGAATTTATTATTTCGTGTAAACGTTTATAATAATTATAATTTACAATTACGATGATTGATGATAAATACAAAGAGAACAACATAATTTGGAACAAGAAAACTAGGAAAATTCAGCGGATGAATATTTAAGTTTTGCGATAGTTAGCTTTTTCCACAGAGAGAGAGAGAGGGGGGGGGGAGAGAGAGAGAGAGAGAGAAAGAGAGAGAGAGAAATTTTATGAATCGAAGTACACGCTCATTAAAAATTGAAGGACACTCCGTTGTTATCATACTATGTTGTAACACAGTAATAGCCAAATTGGTAAACTTAACTTTTTACAATGGTCCAGTAAAAATTAAATAGGAAAGGGACGAAATAAGGGAATTATAAAAATTATACATCACCTCTTTGTAACCAGTGAGAGATCCTCACTCTCTTTATCTACAAAAGAAATTTGCGACGATGTTGTTAATAAAGAAACAACATAGTATATACAATTATATACTCGAAGAACTAAAAGGTCTAAAAAATAAAAGAAAGGGCACAAACTAATTGCAAGAAATCAATGCTTCATGTAGAAATAAAGATAAAGGGACGAATATCGATAGGACATCGATGGTTTAGGAATTCCAAGAAGGTCAAAGAAGAAGAAAATGTAACTAAATATTACTAAAGACGCGCTGTGCAAGAACGAGACCGGTATTAAAGACACGTTACCTGAACAGAATGGTGCTAATTTCTTTTTGCGTAATATCTACGCGAACTCGCTCAGCTAATCCATTTTTAATATTTAAGTCTCTCTCGGAAACTTTTCTGCGTAGTTTTATCGTATCATTCTTGTTTTTCAGTCTCTCTTGCATCGGTAACTAATACTTGTGTAAAATAATAGGAAAAACATGTGCTTCATTTAATGCTAAGAAAATAAAGTTGTCAATCGTAGTTTTTTATACATTACTTTTGAATAAAATCGAATTCACGGCTATTATTATGAATCCCCGACATAACAAACACATGAAAAAATCTATTCGAAATCGATTTTATGGCCACCTTCGCAAAATCGACTCATTTTCGTACTTGCACTTCGTTCATTCATCCTCTGTTGCGTTCAATGCGACAGAAATGAACACATTGAAAAATACAACACACCAAGGAAACGTTTACCCACACAACACACGTTGTAATATAGATAATCATTATTTGTTTCCATATGGTAAACATTTATGTATATTGTATGTGGTCTCTGTTTGCATATGTAAGTCCACGCCTGTGTGTTAGGGTAAGCGCGCGTACTTTACACACACTTAAAAGTATCCATGCACACGAGACGAAGAATACGTCAGAGTTCATTCTACCAAGGCAGGTAGATTAGGACCGAAATGGAATGGACCGAACCAGAGGCGGATGGTGGATTTTCAAGGACTTAAACCGATTTCTAACAACAGAAACAGAGTAAAAGGAAACGAAAGCGAACAAATATTTAACGTTTATTTATTTTTAATATTGTAAAAAAGAATGATAGGTTTTAACATAGAAACAAATGGAATTACGTTTATTTGATCGCTGAAAATTAGGAATCGTTACTTAGAATTTAAGTAAAATACAAAAAGGACTTGTCGTAATTCTCAAATAATTAGAAGCACTTGATTCATACATATATACATATTAATCCGCCCCTGGACCGAACGTATCCGTTGCATTTGGACGCATCGATTTTAATTTATCGTTTAACTTTTTCCCATTTTTAAAATGGCAACGTACGTCCCTTCTACCGAGGTTTCGGTGGAGCCGATCATAGACCGTTATACGTCTTTGATCTGCCTCTAGAATCCGTCACCCCGAGACACCAGAAAGAAACCGCTTTGAATTTGTGGTGGTGGTATACGTGATCGATCAAGATTTATAACGGAGCCTCAATCCCTCGGAGGAAAAAAAAAGAAAAAAAATTATATATATATATCTGAGAACTGCACGTTCTTCTTGTGAACCGAATTCATAAATAATGCTCTGCTTAGAAGACATTTTGAAAAGTTATTATATAAATTTGCAAAATTGCGGGATGTAACGAATTATCCTCGAACTCTATCGACAATTTTCACGAGATCGATCATGCCTACAAAAATGAATATCATATATATATATATAATATATATACACGCATACACTCACGCACATACATATATACAAACGTATAGATGCATGCATACGTGCGTATGTATGTCAAGGGGAATATCGGAACAATATAATTTTTTATACGCGTACATAATTTGTTCTCGTTTTCTTCTTTTCCTTTCTTTTATCGCGACATTAGTGAGCAAGTGCCTGGTAAATATCTGTTGTATACATATTCTTGTGTATAATATATGCATATATATATTATAACATATATACGGGAGATAGGGGAAGAAAGAAAGATAGAAGAGAGGAGAGGAAAGGCGAAACGAAGGAGAGTGGATAACGAGAACAAGAGAGACACAAAGAGGAGAAAAAGATACAGAGCGATAGAATTAGAGCTTGTAAGAACGAGCGAAAATTCAGGACATCAGAAATCTAGAAAGAAATATCTTAAAAAATCGTCGCGTATCGATTGGCCGTTTTAAAAACCAAAACTAGATATTTCCTTCCTTCTTAGACATTTGCGCGCTAGCAACGGACGGTCATGGCATACGATGAATAAAATTGTATTTTTGGAGTTGTGTGCTTCACTCACCTCGATGATACAGCAACTACGATAACAGCACAAATTCAAATTTTGAAATAAATATATAAAAACAAAAAAACGAGTAATACTTTCCAGTCGTTTTGAACAATTCAAATATAAATCAGATACATACGCACACACGCGCGCGTGGACGCAAACACACACGAAGAATACAATGGAAAGAAGGAAACGGATATGCACACAAAATGTAGGATCGTGTGCTTGTACGCACGTGTGTACGTGCAGAGTTTGTTAAATACTAGTAACGTGCAATATGTAAAAAGTATTAAATGTAAAAATTAAGTCACCACTGATGTTGTGTTGGAACTTAATAACTTAATGTATTTTTACTCTCCTTTCTCCTCCTGCGTTCTTCCCTTCGTATAATAATATCGTACTTGCTAGACAATGTGAAATTTAATTTAATGACAACTGGATATAATGTAATTAGATTCATGCGTGCTTTTTTCCTTTGACTTCCTTTCTTCTCGAATCTCTGTTTTGTTTAGCGATACTTTAGATGGTAAATAGTGAACAGCAGATCTGGGAGTAGTAACAGTGTTTCGTGGTCGTTTTTCGCATCCCATGTCTCGTCTTAACAATGAAATCAACTATTTTTTTGTTTCTACACACCCCTCAAAGACTAGTTTATTCAACGCTTTTCTTCAGTTGGTCGTGGTGTCAATAGCATCATTTACGTTCAATCGTCTACCAGCAGCGCTCTCTCCCTCTCTTTCTCTCTCTCATTTTTTTTTTTATAGCACACATATATAATCAAAGAACATTTTTGTTCTCTATTATACTCATCTATGCTATCTCTTCCTCATCAACGTTGCACGACGCGACATGGTCTGCGAAATTTTATCCTGTCCTTTCCTCTGTTCATCCACAATTTGCTCCTTCCTGTTCTTCCACACAAATACGAGTCGATACGATTCCCTCGGATAAACTTGTTGCCAGAGACCGAGTAATTCTCACGACTCGACCGCTTCCTTTCTTTAAGGGTCATATATGGCGCAGCAACATAACATTCTACGTTAATTTTGCATAAATTCACTAATTTTTTGTTTCGCTTTTGTTACTTTTTCTTCATTTCTCTTTGCCCCCCTTTCTCTCTCTGTTCCCCTCCTGTCGAAGGCTGACACTCTTGTTTTAAAGTCAAACATTCGAATTTTAAATTTCCCGCGAGTAGCAAATAGCAATTATACTCAGCGACCAGTACGCGAATCGATCCTTCAGGAAAGGATTCGGTCGAGAACTAGATTTTCTCGTGTTCAAGCTTTCGAACCGGGCTTAACAGCTGTGGCGGTGGCGTTGGCAGCAATATACGGTCGCACATTGGAACAAAGAGGTCACGACGACTTTCAAGAAGGAGATCAAGGAAATAAGGATTCGGAAAAAAGGCGGTGATGTTTTTATGAGTGTGGAAGGAAGAAAGGTAGGAAGGGAGGAAGGAAACCTGAATAGAGGATGAGATAGAATAATAAAACGGAAGAATAAGGAGCAATTTAAAATAGACAGAACGATAGAGATTGGTAAACGGAATGAGAAAGAGGAAAGAAGTGATAGAGAAGAAGAGAGGTGGGTGGAAAAAAAAAGGAAGAAGGAAACGAGGTACGCGAGGGACGAAAGGACAGGCGAATGGATAAATCGATCTCGGATGGATGGATGGGTGAGCACTTCAAGGGACGGGGGGACGATAGAGAATAGGATGTTCTTATTAGGTTAGAAAGGACTTAAGCTTAGGAAGGTTAGTTATCTCCACTCTCCTGTGCTTCGTCCGCGTCACCCTGTGTGTCACTGGTCCAAAGAGTGAGGTTGTCGCGCAAAAGCTGCATAATTAGCGTGGAATCTTTGTAGCTGTCTTCGTTAAGTGTGTCCAACTCTGCGATCGCATCGTCGAACGCCTGAAACGTTTATGCGCAAATATTAATTTCACGAAACGATCGATTTTGTTTCTATTACATTACACACATGACTCTATTCAGCAATCGCGCTAAAAACTACAAAACTCATATTTGTTCAATCACGCGAGATCACACGTTCGTGCAAAGCATCAATCAATTTTGATTAGACATAGAAGATATTGTGAACATATGAATAGTAAATGCGAACGATGCGGAATGGTTACCGATACAGTGGAGACTCGTTATGACAACCGTCATACCAAGTATCGAAGTAGCGTTTTCTTATGTTTTACTTTTAACGGGTTAGTATACACTCAAAAACATAGCATGAACCGTACAATATTACGACACACTGATATATATATATATCATAAAAGATAGATTTCTTTGTTTAATATAAATGTAAAGTAGTCATCCAACCAAGCAGCAAATTGTCTATTATTCCTAACCTGTTTGGCAAGATGACAAGCTCTAGCCGGAGAATTAATAATTTCATAATAAAAAACAGAGAAGTTGAGTGCAAGACCGAGTCTGATGGGATGCGTAGGCTGCATTCTTGCCTTTGCTATGTCAAACGCTTCTTGGTACGCTTTCTGTGAATCCTCGACTACCGCTGTAATGCAAACCGGGAAACCCAGATTATAACTTTCATAAATTTCCAATTATCACCTTTGTTCAGGTACATCTATATGAATTTGTAACGTATGTAATAAGCGCGCAGACGCGCCATGTTCACGTTAGGATCGGAAAGGATGAAAAAAGGGAAAAGGAAACGTAAGAGTGACTACCCATCCCCTGTACGCAACTCACTTTCACGAGTCAAGCGGTATTTTCACAATCGCGAACACGAGGAATCGACCAAGTTCGATAGCATGTCAACATGTTGAAAAAATGAAAGCGTCTTCCTAACCGCAATATAAGGTAAAATCACATTTTGCCTCCACTGCATCACCACCACTGTCCTTCTTATTGTATCTTCTCGCGATTGCTGTAAACTATCGACATCATCCTCGGTTTCATAAATTATACCTGTTTGGCCAGCTGGCAGGCCTTGTCTGGTGAGTTGATGATCTCGTAATAAAAAACGGAGAAGTTGAGTGCAAGACCGAGTCTGATGGGATGCGTAGGCTGCATTCTTGCCTTTGCTATGTCAAACGCTTCTTGGTACGCTTTCTGTGAATCCTCGACTACCGCTGTAATGCAAACCGGGAAATCCAGATTACAATTTCTACAAACGTATACATAAAGCGTGACCTCCCTTTGTCGCGATGTATACATAAGGACATCGGAATAGGAAGAATGAAAAGGAAACTAGGAAATAACACGAACAACCTATTCGTGTGGCTTTTACGTGAAACGTTTACAAAATTCGTTATAGTATATGCGAACGTACTATACACCGTTATGCAAATAAACAAAAAGAGAAGAAAAAAAGACGAAAAACGGAAAAAAAAAAAAATTAAAGATTCGGTAGACATGTTAAAAAGATAAAAGTGCCTCTTCCTCCGATCCATAAACGATAAAGACGAATCATGATTTTGACTCCACTGCATCATCACCATCCTTTCGCATCTTTTCCGCGATTGCTGTAAAGTCTATTATCGATATGCGTAACAATCCTCGAGCCTTTATGAATTATACCTGTTTAGCCAACTGGCAGGCCTTGTCTGGAGAGGTGAGGATCTCGTAATAGAAAACGGAGAAGTTGAGGGCAAGACCTAGCCTGATCGGGTGGGTAGGCTGCATCTTTGCTTTGCTGATTTCGAACGCATCCTGGTATGCCTTCTGGCTGTCGTCTACCACGGCTGAATATATTACGTGCAAAATTATCAGCAAAATTTCAATCTATTCGTGATCGTCGATATTTCGAATTTAACATCGATGGTGCCTCAATATATGGTGTCTTTAATGTTTCGCAGATAATCGTAATGATGATGATGATGATGATGATGACGACGATGATGATGATGATGATGATGATGATGATGAAGACGACGACGACGACGACGACGACGACGACGACGACGACGAGGATGAAGATGAAGATGAAGATGAAGATGAAGATGATGTGATAATGAGTAATAATAATGATAATAATAATGATAACAGTAATAGCAACACTGATATTAAATGATTTAATATACGTTTAGATGATAATTGATGCAATTTTACGGAACGTGTAATTGTGCTTTGGTAAATTTCAAACTAATTACGAAACAAAGGATACCGCTGGTGTATTTTGTTGTGCGAATTTAAAAGCAAACATACTTAAATAAGATAAAACATGGCAAACGTTTTTAACATTACCAAAATGAAAAGTAGAGATATACAGCGTTAAAATACACTGATATTTTAAAAACGTTTTTTCTTTCTGTGATATATAGAAACAGAAATTCCGATATGCGATGGATGTCACGATGTAATTTTTCAACACCACTTAAATCCAAGAATGCGTTAGGGAGTAGTTTCATTGAAGAACATCTGCCGTTGCAGCTGCGCTTTCCATTTTCTGAAGTACAACTACGAGGGCGGGCACAGGTACGAGAGATCATTGTGCGAAATCTTTCTACTCGAAGAAAGACCCACATCGACTCACACAATGTCAGATTACAAAAAAAGTCTCTTTGGCATCGTATTTACTTTCAAAATACCGTTATACATCATTGAAGCGTAATAACGCGAACAAACGTGTATATTGATATTTTGGAAAGGCGTAGATGAACAATTCCAGCCAAAAATGGTTAATCGTAATCGGTAAAACTATAATTGTGGAGTTAGTAATTTGTCACATTGTCATGTACATACCATTTCTAGTTTCTCCGGTAGCGACTTCTGCGAGATACCTGTAGTAGTCGCCCTTCATCTTGAGGTAGAATACTTTACTCTCGGCACTACTAGCCTTGGGGATCAGGTACTTATCAAGGAGTCCCTAAAATATCGACAGCAAAATTAGTCTTTTCATGTTTTCCTTTTATTTCAGATACTTATGTCAGATAAATGGTCAATCTACGTAGCAGTGAAAATGTTATTTGTACAAATGACACACGACGCGCGTCGAATGACTAAGAAACTCGACGGCGACGGCTTCTTTCCTTTTCGCATATTTCGGAATAATTGAAATTTTCTTCGTTTACGATACCGATTAAGAATAATAAAATACGTTTTGTTATACTTCCGAACCGATGAGAAAGGACCCGAGACGAGCAACTAGGCGTCGAGTAATAAACGAATCACGTGAAATTCAAACCACCAACGACGACGATGCTTGTTTCTCAACTATGGGAATACGTAGACGCGACAAAAAGGATGTAAAAGGTGTAAGGCGACCCGTTGATGAACACCAAAAGTTAGACTCTGCTTTGCAAACAATCCATTTTCCTAGTCAGAGAAGCCATCGCCCAGAACAGACTGTAACCATCGCTTAATCGCGTGACTTTTGTCACGCTTCCGCGATTCGTATGTTACCAAAATCACGCACGCGTAATTGGTTCAAGCGATGAAGAAAAGATAAATTCTTACCAATACATCATAACAGATTTCACGTAATTCCTTCTCAACCTTTTCCCGGTATTCCTTAGCCATTTGTTGTTTGCGCTCGGAACCTTCGGTTTTCTGCTCAATGGAGGAGATGACTCGCCACGAGCTACGTCTTGCACCGACAACATTCTTGTACGCTACCGACAATAAGTTCCTTTCTTCGTTCGATAACTCGACTCCAGTTTCGGTGACTGACTTCATCGCGGCTGCCATATCATCGTACCTCTCTGCCTGTTCGGCGAGCTTTGCACGTTGTACCAATTCCTCCTTGTCCACGGACATTGTATTGGCTGGAAAGCAAAAAGTTCCAATGTACATAAAAGAAAAATCCTGTTTCGTGCAATTTATAAGATATAGAAAGTCGTTAAGAAGTGAGAGTGAGAGTGATAGAGGCGGGAAATAAGGAAGATTCGTAATGTACATCGCTAGAAAAACGTGTAACGATGCAGCATCGTTGGATTAACACAACGCAACTTCAATGTCGCCGAGTTCATTTTCTCATCTATCCGGGAGTCGTTCGTAGGCACGTGAGAATAGATTTCACCGACGCGTTTAGAACACAGGATGACGTACTCTGGTTGGGCGCGCATGCGCACGCGCACACGTACTCCGTCTGACCTAACTGGCCTCGTTCGACGTGAACGATATCCGCACATAGATCACGAACATCGTGACCATTCCTCCCCCTATTTCTTCCTAAAGGAACAGCTGCTCTTTTCTCAAAATTACACTTGAACAGCTGTTTCGAGAGCATAATCAAAGACATTTCCTTTTACCTGGCATGGTCACACCAAATGGTCATTGGCAGTGGATTTACCCGAAAGAGAATTTCGGCCTTCCTTGACCTTGACCATTGATGTCGTGAACGTTGTGCGCTTTTAACCTTGAACAAAACACTTTTACGATTCGAAGCTTACTATTCGCTAAAATTTATGCTGCTCATACGGTTAATGATGAACTTATTACGCGTGAAAACATTCCACGTTAAAAACTGCGACTTTCGATTAACTTTACGCTATTTTCGCTCATTTATATCGATTTATTAATGTCTCCGACCTGATCCATAACATAATCGATAAGTAGGGCTAACCAACTATCGCATTCTATTTTCATTCAAGAAGAGCGATCATTATCTCGTACATAGATTACCAGTCAAATATCGACTTGTCTAGCTTGCTTGAACGTTAATACCGATAGAATTTCGTGCATATTTGGTCAATCCTTGTATATTCGCGACATTTTTACAGACGATCGAAACGTTTGTTATAACGGTTAAAATATCGTGTAAAATAATCGATCTACACGCATGAATAGAAGACGAGAATCTCGAATGCAACGATCTCGACTAACATGGATATAATCATATGGCAACGATGAGTCACTACGTCGGACCGCGTTACAACGCCAAACCGTAGTAGGTACACATCTAAACATCTTGACTCCTTTTAACACGTTTCACGTTCGTCGACCGTACGCGCACGCGCTTCTGAGGGCTTCGCCTTCATATTTTTACGTTTATGCATTTTTCCGTGGATCTTCGCAAGATCCGCGGGCGATCGTCGAAATTGACTTCTTTGCGAGAAAATTTCACGTGAGGATGGATTCGTCGACAAGTTGATTAATTCATTAAAGGTATATAAACGAAAATAACTGCAGAGAATACGTGATGGTATCGGTGAGCCGTTTTTACATCAGCGTATCGCGTATCGCGTATGGCGCCCGATTCTCCCCCAATGAGTCACATACGACGTCGAGGAACAACGCTACGACGTAACAAGTAAATCTATATAACCTCATATATGGGGAGATTATTATTATTGCATTCAAGAATGAAAATAACGTGTCACGATTACACACCGGAAGCGATAACGACGCCTTACGTGCTTTTCTATGGATATCTAATAACGTTTCATTCGACTTTACGCAGTCACTTTCCACTCCCTTTCGTATCGATCATCCTCCTCTTTCTTCCTCGTACGCGCAAACTCTGTTCGATCCGCTTCACGATCTCGGTCTGCTCGAGTTTCCCATATTCCACGTTAAGCAAAGAAACTTAATCGTACCACTTATATATTCCTTCGGATTATCAGTCACCTGACTATTCGAAAACAGCATAGGCTTAAGGAAATAATTTTAGATGCGATTCGTTCTCATGATTCGAGTGAACGCAACAAAAATTGCTCCTTCCGTTGCTTATAGCGGTGGAAAAGACAAAATACGTTTTCTCCTTTGCACTATGCGATAGTCGTTAATCGTACGCGTTTGAAAATCGATAAAAATCGGTTTTAATGTTTAAACGTTGTCGTGACGTCTACCACGCGAATACAAGATGCGCAATTTTGAAAATGGGGTCGTCGATCGACTTCGCGTACTAGTAATTTCTTTAACGAAATTCGTACCGTGCTACTTAACAGATAACAAACTTGCGTTTTACTTGCGTGAATCGGTGAACGTTTGTATCGTCGCGCAACCATAAAGCGCTTCTAAATGATTTATCACGAAGTAGTAGCGAACGCGCAAGCGCACAATTTTCATAATTAACAGCTACCCAATTCGGACGAAAGATTGTTCGACGTGGCAAAACGGCGAATACGTTTCAAAATTTGTTCGCCTTTTTAATGCATTATCAGCCTGGTAAACAACAGTGACACCAGTTACGTCAAAAAATTGACGTATGAATCGTTATCCCTGCCATCATCGTCGTTCGTTCATTCATTCATTTCATACAACTATCCGTAGAACGTAAGCAAATATCGGGAAAAACAAGTCGTTTATTGTTGAGAATTGCGTAAAGAATAACGAAAACCAAGCACGAATTTCGTATTTAAGTATTTCCTGCACTCGATATCGATATCGGACTGTTTTCCATTGAATGGGAACGTACACGCATTGTCGAAAAGCTATCGCTCGTATGACATTAGAGGAAAAACGATCGATCGTAAATCGCGACCATGCGAGACATGTGCCCGTTTCAATTTGTTTCTCGTGTTCGTGTTCGTGTTCGAATACTCGCTAAAATGAGATCGCTGACTAGATTATTAATTTAACCGAGGTTCAATTGAATTCGAATCGGTCGAACGACACGTGAGTCGATACCACTAACCGAATCATCCTGACACCAAGCGGAGCACGTTGCGGTACGAGGTTAATTCTTTTGAAATTTCGTGTCTTCGCGCACGATACTTATCATTACGAGATCAGTCACCGACATACCACGATCCACGCGTGATCCGGTAGATCAGACGGAAGGTCAAGCAGCCAGATTCTTCTTCTTCGAAAACCCGGACGGAAATATTAAACCGGTAGGTGGTATTCAACGTCCTATATTTAATCGCGCGCAATCACCTGGCTTTAGGTTAGCAGAAGCTCGACGACACTGTTGCCGGATCTACTAGAGAACTGATGAGAAATCCTACGTTGCCAGTAAAATATTTCCGGCGCAAATTTTTCAAGCGGATCGCTAAACGCAACGAGATACAACTATTCGAGCCAAGTGTGATTTTCTTTCCAACTACTCTCGCTCAAACCTATATTTTTTACGCATTAAATACCCCGTAACAAACTATGTAATTATTCGTTTCGAAATGGACAGTGTTTTCTCCCGATTTATTCGTTAGGCTATCGCATTTTTCTCCCCTCTTTTTTCTTTCCATATCGTACTGTTTCTCTCACTACCGTTTTATCTCGTATGAACTTCATACTCGATCTTAGACGATTAACTTATTACCCACAATTTATATCAAACTGCTTTAAAAATCTTGCAAATGAAGTAACGAATTTCATAGTCATTTCATAGTAACAGAATTCTCATCGAAATGCCCAAATTTCAGGCGATTCTATAATTGAAATTATCAAATAAAAGTGATCGAAGATAAAGATGTCGTCCGAATTGAGAAACGTGACATCTTTGTCACGTTGATACAAGTACAAATTTTATCAGGCGACTCTTATTTATCTACGTCTATCTACATCGCGCTATACTACGTTTTCTATAATAAATTACCGTTCTTTTAAAAGACTTGCATGGCAACTAATATCGTTTGCATTTAAACCATTACTTTAGACATTAGAGATTTAAATTAGACATTTAATTAGTTACGATGCAATAATCGATACTTGGATAAATACGTGAACAAAAAGAAAGAAAGAAATAACCAAAGCAACGCGATCTTACAAAAAATTACACGAGGTTACCGTTTGAACGTGTTACAAGAGGAGGAAAGAGACATTCAATTTAGACACACAAAGTGGAAGCTTCCGTATGAGGTGAAGAGCAAAGCTCTCACTACAGACCGAAGGTCAGACGCGTGAAGCGATTCAAAATAAAAAAAAAAATTGCGTTCGTTTATCATGAATGGTTTGAGGTTATAGTCAACGTAGTCGCGTAGTTGAGCCGAAGAGGGAGCAGTCAAACGGAGCGCCACGGCGCTACTTTCACGAAGCGAGAGCGAAATTCTTCGTCTTTTCTCTCTCTCTCTCTCTCTCTCTCTCTCTCTCTCTCTGGTTTTCCTCCTCTCGCCCCCTAGCTAACACGCCCCGTCCTCGAAGCATTCACGACCGTTTCATGTCGCGATATGGACGAGAACAAGCCAGGACAAAGAAACCAACAACGGGAACACCTTGCTTCCGGCGAAAAACGAATCGGCGTCATTGCAGAGACCGCACCGTTCTATTTCTGCGTCGCAGTATTATACCGCAGAGATCGATAGCCAATTTACTTTCTCGATTCTTCGGTTCAATCAAAGGAAAATGCGACATGGATATGAAGTTTCTAGCATATTCTCTCGGCATAGTAACGGTTTGGGAAAAGGATGAAATAAAATAGATACGAAAGTAATCGTCTCTGTGGTGGCATGCATAAAAAGGACAGTTAGGTGAAGAGAAGACGTGGAGATAGAAAAAAAGATTCAAGTAAATGGAGAAGAACTGAAAAGATAGATAAAGCGTCAGCGAAGTAAAGACGCATAGAGTAAAAACGGAGCAACGATTCGTCGCAGTCTTACCTATAGTTAAAGTCTTTTGTACAATAAATACTTAAATAAATACACGATCAGCGTATTTCGTAGTTTCGCGTAAAATCGGGAGGGGGGCCGAAAACTGACTAGACTCTCGGTACTGCTAGTTCTTTTCTGTTCGGGGGGGTAAAGAGCGAGAACGTATTACGCGGAGAAACTACGCCGGGTCTTTTTCCTCAGTCACACTCAGTTACGGTACCACACATCCCTCAGTGACCACTCCCGCACAGTGACTGAGCCGGCAACGCTGCTCGTGGTGGGGACTCGGCGCGCCTCGTGCCAGGACTCGTCTCCATTCGGTACGAATCGTCACGGCTCGGTTTCTCTCGGTTTCTCTCGTGACCGAGCCGAAGTATTGATCGGTTCGCCCAGCATGGCCGGCTCAACGAGCTTGGGTGGGGCAGTGGTGCACGGATGTCCCTATCCCGGGACGCCAGCCATGGAATACGACGCGTTGTATTGTGCTGCGTTACGCAGCGCTGCGCGTTACATAGTATACACACATACTCTCACACCTTCCGCGTCTCTCTCTCTCTCTCTCTCTCTCTCTCTCTCACACACACACACACACACACACACCCACACACACACACCCACACACACACACATACCATATATTATTGCTTTTTTCTTTTTTTTTTTTTTTACATTTCTCCCTACCATATATTATCCATTCTTTCTTTCAAATAAACAAATCTTGTCTCGAAAAATGAATTTGGATAATTTCTCAAATTTAAAACTGGTATCAGTGAGAAATATACATGATCGATAAGTACGATAATTTTTTTGAATAATATGTGACACGCATATACCCACGCGCAAGATGCCGTACATCATTCTTTTTTCGTATTTTAATTCGTTGTAGGTTAAAAATTAAAACTACTGTTTGATATCGATAAGTATGCAAGAAAGTGAGCAGTCGATGGAAATCGATCGACAACGTAAAATCAAATTCTCAACATGGCGCGAGAACACGTGCATCGTCACGTGATATCCGGATCTACCAGCAAATCATTTTGGGAATACACGACATGCCTGGTTAGCCAACACAATCCAAAGGTATCGATTGATTCCCATTTCTGTTTGAAATAAAACTAGTTCGATCATATAGCACATCTAATACCAGTATTTAAATATACGTCCAATCGCGATATCAAACAACGAAACGTCAAAATTTCGAGCTTTGTGTAAAATATATTCGCTACAAAATTCGTCTTATCGGTTCCTAAATGTTCATATAAATTTATCAGAAAGAAAACTGCGTATATTCTTTCTTCGTTAAAGCTGTAATCATTTTGAGCAGGAAAAAAAGAACAAGGCCGAACTAGAAACATGGATGCATTTATACAATCAGGAAAAGGGAACGGAGAAAAAACGAATGCCGAAGATTCGCATCAACGAAGACACGGAAAAAGTGGTAATTATGTGGAATACAATGCTTATATCGGGAAGACGAGCACAGGAATAGATAGGTAGTCTTTCTATATCTTTCTTTCTCTTTCTCCCCCTCCCCCTCTCTCTCTCTCTCTGGCTGGCGAGGCTAAAATGAAATATTGATCTGCGGAGGCGCGCGCAACCCCTGCAACCGACCCGCCCTTCTTCCTTGGCCACTATTTTCCGTTGCTCACCCCCAACCCATACTAACCACATCCGCTTTGCTACTCTGCCAAATCTTGTAGAAATAGCTTATCGTTTCTCTCTTTTCCAATTGTTTCTCTCCCTTACTAAATTATCTCTTGCAGATCGCCGAGGTATCTAGGATTTTTCTCGCGTGTTATACTTATCCTTTACATCGGTAATCAAACAGGATACGGCGATGCTAGAAAGTAACGGAGAAAATGAGAGGCGAGTTGAAATATTATATTTTCCATATTTAATTATGTAACATACGACACCAACTAGATAACACGGAATTAGACATTTATAGGTACGATACACTGCGAACATTTCATTCGAAAGGACAGGTAATTAGATGGAGGACAACTGAGAAAAGTAGCTACGCATACGTACTCGGTTGTCGAATACACCTGTCTCGACGTATATTCCTATCGATCAACGGACAAGAGGGGTTGGTAAGGCGTGCGCTTGCCTTGATTCGATCGCTCCATTGTTCGAATACTACACGTGATAAAGACTCGATATCGAATAACTACGACCAAAGACGTTCCAAGATGAATAAAATGGCTCATTTAATTTCGAATGTACAGTAGCACAATATCGGAAAATAACGATAACTTAGTTACCGTATTTAAAATGCTACGACATGAACAGATTATCGGTCATTTTCTATGCACATAGTCAGAGACAATTAAAATTTAGTATTCCATGTATATTTTATCGCAGCGATGTACCAATGTAATTCTTTTAAAAGAACTGCGAGTCATTTTTAAATCTCCAAACATAATTTAGAACGTAAAATTTCTGATAGATGTATCGCGAGTCGTGTACGAAAGAGAATTATATAAATTCGATTTACAAATAACAAGACCGTACGAACAACGTAGTTATAGTAGAACGACGACTGTCCTATGCAACGTGAAATCATCCGCAAGCGAACTATTTCTCGAGTGACTATGTGTAGGTTTAGTTGGAAATTCAGAAAAGCGACGAAATTAACAATTTTCGTTCTAGCAATATGTTATTTGCTTTGGCGTTCGCGAGCAGGGAAATATTTGGCATAGAAACGAGTAGTTTTTCGCGGAACGTCGGTAGCAACCGATAAGGCGAGAGTTCGTTTGATCGTTGGTCGACCATGAACGAGTTTCTCGTTTCGCGTGAAGAACCAACTTGAATACGAGAGTAGACAATCAATATAAATACATGGAATGAAAAGAAAAAATTAAAACGGGTACATGTTATCGAGAATCGTGGAAGCTAACCATTACGACACTGACCTTGCACCGGTAGGCCAATTCGAAAATCGTCATCTTTGTCGTATGCTTTGAATTACGTATCCACCGAAATCCTGTGTTGCTCCATCGTCGAAGCAACTAGTGCAGTAATCGGTAAATTCAAGGATATTTCGCTATTGATTTTCAATAGTACATACACTGCGCTATTTTTACAACTGTATCTTAAAAGATTTGAAAAATATCCGAAGGACATCGGAATTTGCGCAACTTTCGATTCATCGGTGACGAATGCGCGTTAAGAATACAAGAAGCGAGAAATATTAGCGTAAACGATGGACGGAGCTTCTCTCTGTATTCACGACGCAACGCAGATCGAATACGATTCGCGAGAATTATTAAACGTCCGAGACATTAGCAACCGATTCGCGAAATATACACGGCAAGCCTTTTCAAGCGAAGAACGACGCGTGCTACAGGTGGTAGAGTATGGATAACGCGGGGGCGTGATTACTGCTGCTGTGCTCTTTCGGCTCTCTTCCCCGACCAGAATTTCTACTTTCAGCAGAGTTCCAGCTAATGGTTTTTACCACTTTTACCAAAGAATCCAGTTTCTACTGCTCTTCGTTTTACCGATTCGCTAACCTTCTACGTGTTTATCTTCCAATTGTAAAAGAAAGTCACGGAAAAATTTCTTTTCCAACGCATTGCCATTTGATACCGACTAATTAACGCAATCCACATAACGAGTATATGCTTTTGTCACTGTCATTCATTCGTCTTCTAATATACACCTCTACCGTTACACTCCATGTTTTCATTCACCGACAACCAAATCCTATGCCAACTTGAATTCATCGAGAAAATTCTTGAGTTGTGACTATGACGACTCTTTTACTTTAATTATGCGCTTTTTTCCATTCCGTATCTACTCGTCACTATTTACAATTATCGTATTGCTATACGAATAGCATTGCTTTCATACCTTATTTCCAAATCTTGCCGATGACTCGAATCAACTCGAATAAACTCGACGAGCGGAACAATGCTATGAAACGTAGCGAAGTCTTCGGACAGGACTATTCCTCAGCCATCTTCTGACACGAGGAACGAACAGTATCTTTCGTTTTCCACCACTGAGTCGTCCGATGATGAAAAGAACCAAGCGAAAAACATTGCACGCAAGGGGTATATTTACGTTAGAGGTGGCACGGGCACTCAAAGAAACGAAACATAGCGCAGCTATACGCGATGAACTCGCGCGAGTTTCTGCGTCAGCCGTCTTGGAATAGCGAGTGATGTCAAGCTCGCTGTTTCGATTCGGTTCAGCTCGTTCGTTTACACGAGTCGGCCAAATACGTACTCCTACGCGATAAAGTCTTTCCGCTCATTGAACCGAGAGAAATCTTCCAATCGTTGAAATACCATCGACCAATCGAAATCAACACCAACGCTAACGCGAAATCGATCGCTGAAAACTAATGGTCCTACGAGTCCTTTTGCCTTTGGCTTTTTGTTCGTTTGAATTCTCTCAGAAATAGGTTCTAGTTTCCAAATCGAACGATGAGAAAAAAGCAGTGCGACTAGAAAATTGGAGAGCGAAACAACCGTGGATGATTAACTAGGTTGGGAACATAGGTTAGAAACAAAGGTCAAAAAGATAGGTTAGCGTTGCATAAACGCAAGCGAATGATCATTATTCGAATAAATTCAATGATTCGCAAACATCGTCGTTGAATTCGTTTGATTTTTGAACGCGGAAACATGCTTCGCGTAAACAATTATGTAAGAATGTTCCCACAAGCAAGACTTTCATAATTCGACTGTGCTCAGCAGAAAAACAAGACTAACTCAGTTTTTTTTCTAAGTAAAGAAAAATGCTTCTCGGGTTAGCTGCCCCCGATAAAGAACATATGGGAAAACTCAGACGTGTGTCTGATATAGCTGTAATATATTATTAACTGACAAAATGACATTTCCAACGGTACCGTCTTTGCGTGAATTTCGATCTCGGCCACGAAACCGTACTGCAGACAGACACGGTGGTCTCGATACTATATGTGACCATAAGTTCGATAACGCGTTCGATTATACGCGTTCTTTTTAAGACAGGTACATGTCACATAACTAATATCACGTTAATAGAACACATGGTAGAAAGATGCTAAAGATTATGAAATCGTGACGAACGAACAGTTATCTGTAAATTTATTTGTACGTATTAGCTGGCAGCTAGTTTGAAGACTCTTTCGTCAAAGTCATGTCTAAACAGTTTTACGTCAGCTTAGATATTCTGATATTTTTGCATCCGGGTTCGATCGTCAAACGTCGAACACCGAATAGGAACACATCCTTACTGTCTAGTCGCGAATTTTTGGACAAACGTGGATCAACGAAACGCGAGCACGTTGACATTATTACACTGTCTTAACCACTGTTTATGTGTACCACTCATCGATCAATGATCATCTTCAATATACTTTATTTCAACCGAATACTTTGTATATCGACTACGAATGATTGAATACCCTGGTATAATTTTTGCTTTTGCTGATAATAGACCAAATTTTGTCGAACTTAATTGCGCATAAAATTATCTCGAGATACAGAAAGAGAAACAAGTTAGGGATGATTGAACCGATAGACGTGGGAGTGGTACGAATCGATATAATTAGGTCACCAAGATTTCCACATTTGCTAACAAATTTAAAAGTGGATGCAACTTTCCTCGATCTTCTTAATAACCTTTTGACTCTGTATTCGTCGACAAATCTAAAGACATAAAAATGTTGACATAAAAAAATCAGAAAGAGAAAATGAAGAATCGATATAGTAAAGAAAAATCGATGTATCTTATAGACACGTCACCGATACGACACCGACCGAACGAATAAGCGAGCCTACACGAACGAATGAACGACGAAAGGCTGGAAGAAGAGGTTGTCGTTGGTATCGTCGTCGTCGTCGTCGTCGTTGTCGTCGTCGTCGTCGTCGTCGTCGTCGTCGTCGTCGTCGTCGTCGTCGTCGTCATCGACCTTGAAGGAAAGAGTAGGCTTCGTCTCAGTTCGAGTTGTTCGATGACCGAGAATGGGTAGGGGAAGAGTATGAGAGAGTTCACGGTCCCCCACTACGAACAAACGCCTACTTTTTGCTAAAATTACTGATTAATATTATTGTAGCTACTAGTCACACGATTACGCACATACCGATAAATAAACATTCGATGAAAAAAAGGATGGAACAATAACAATGCAATTCCCTATATCAAATAGTATACGGTTTAATTATATCATCAAAAATGAAAAGATAACCTATAACGTACTTGAAACAAAAAGTGAAGACGCTAATACATCTTCGATGGTGCATTGCTGTTGCATTCAATTGTTTCACTGAAAATTTCTTATAAAATTCAACGATGTACTATTTCGTGAAAAGAATGGTCTATGAATCACGCGCATGCTATGCCGGGCAATAATAAGACGCTACATAAATGGGAGTAATTCATATGTATCACGACAAATATATGGATATTAAAATCGAATGCCAATATCGATGAATATCCACATACATGAAGTTCGGTGTTTATCAGTCAAGACGTGTCGAAGCAATATCGAAAGCATGATAATCGCTTCACCTGTCAAAGGGCGTGTGCTCGACATAGCTCGTATGCGCCTCTACAAAGATGGAAAACGCGTGTGATGTTTTAACGCGACTTCAAGCGTAAGCAGGCCAGATATCGTACGTGTGAGAACAAGCAAAATTTATTACGCTATGTATCTCTGATTTCTCTATACCATATAAGGAATCAAATATTGTAAAAAAATATCAGTTATCGTAACATCGATTCAATACTCATATGATTAACTGTCATTTCGAGAAATTTCTATCATCGATGAAAACAACTACGATCGACTTAACTTTCGTGTCGGTATAAAACAGAACCAAACATGAAATCGAACATTTTTGGATTCTTTTCAATCATAAAATGTAATTTCATCACTGACTGTATAACTAAGATGGCGGCAATTATCTTATCCATTTAGGGCTGTCGCGTCGCGTGCGTCGTATCCGCTATGAGTAGCAAGTGACTACCTTCAGAGTGTCTTCTATCGCATTGTAATCCAACTAACTTTATCAAAATGATAATTTGTTTAATAAACGAATAGAATAATGTATAAATTATACAATAACAACAAGATGAACGATTTCAATTTTGAAAATATAACAAAGCGATTGAATTATAGGTTATTTCGAGCGACTTAGGCAAAGGATCGGGGGCTGCATGGCTACGGGGTTCACACGACCCATGAGCAATTACACTTCATATTATTTGCGACTGATATTTTAAAAGACATTGGATGCAATGACTCCAATCTAACTTTCACACTCGCACATGATTACAGTCGATCAAGGACTCACCTTTAAAGTGTTACAAACGGCCTAGAAAATCGAGGCTTCGGCGTATTCAACGGCTCCCGTCCACTACGATCTCACAGAGTGCACTGGCGCAACGAGCGGAAGCCGCCATTTTGAACTGCGTTCACTTGACGCTTTCCGTTCATTCGAAAACACTTGTTCACTGTTCCCACCATTTCTTAAATCTATCGATATAAAGAAACTATTCGTTTGTATTTCTTTTAAAGAATCGATTATTCTCCATTTCACAAAGCATTTTTGTACTTATACCTTTCGAAATATAATAATAGGTCGCATGCAATTATATCAATATATCGATTAAATTATAATCAAATTGTATATCAATATAATATGAACAAATTAAAAATAGTTTAACATCCATCATTCATTTTCAATAGTTCATTTAATTGTTCGAATTATGTAAGTCGATTTAAGCAATATAAAGTTTCTTACTTAAAATATTCCTTTAAAGTCAAAACAATATTATATATACTATCGACATTTATATCACATACTTCTATGTATACGCCATTTTCTTTAAATATGTATATAGCGTAGCGTATATTATGTTGGTATTAATGTGCTTCGTTCATCTGTAATTTTCAGTGTGATCTTTAAAATATTTTTCCAAAAAGATGCCTAAATCGAAAAGAGATAAGAAAAGTAATATTATCTTGTTTCAATCGATATTTTTTTCATTTAATCTTTCATTGTAAATGTAGAATTTTTATAGATTAACCTAAAAATGTTTCACGTGCCTTTAAATAATTGATAAATTTATATTTCACAGTATCTCTTACAAAGACAACAAAGAAAGGCCTTATTTTGAAACAACAAATCGTGGAAGATGTTAGAAATTGCGTTGAGAAATATGCTAGGATATTTATTTTATCCGTACATAACATGCGTAATAATAAACTTAAAGATCTACGATTGGAATGGAAAGATAGCCGGTTTTTCTTTGGTAAAAACAAGGTGATAGCATTAGCTTTAGGTAAATTACCAGAAAACGAAGTTGCAAATGGTCTTCATAAATTGTCATTAGCACTAAGAGGACAGTGTGGATTGTTATTTACGAACAGGAATAAGAAGGAAGTATGTTTTTCTTTGTTAAAATACAGATACATAAAAAGAGTACATTTGTTAATTTATATCTTGCTAAGGTATTGCAATGGATGAAGGAGTATGAGGAAATAGACTATGCTAGATCTGGTTTTGTTGCACAAGAAACCATAACGTTACACGAAGGACCAATGGCAGACTTTTCACATAGTATAGAACCTCATCTAAGACAATTAGGAATGCCTACAGCTTTACAGAAAGGTGTAGTGACATTAATTAAAGAGTATACCATATGTAAAAAAGGACAAGCATTAACCCCGGAGCAAGCAAGGATTTTAGTAAATATGATGTTTTATAATTCTTATTAAACACAAAGATAACAAAATAATACTTTGTTCTTCTTATAGAAATTAATTGATAAACCATTGGCTACATTTAAATTAATACCACTAGGTATGTATTCTAAAAAGTATGGATACAAACAACTTACATCTCAAGATAATGTCAAGGAAAATATAGAGGAACAAATGGAAATAGAAGAAGCATAGTATATATAGATAGAACGTATATAGAAAACTGAAGTTTTTGACTGCAAAGAAAACATGTGAAAACCTGCATTTTTGGAAACAACTGATGTAAAGCATTAAACATTAACATATTTTTAAGACATCAAAATTGTGACAGCGTTTTTTTTAACCATCATCTCTTCATTTAAACCACTTAATGAAACAAACTGATGATGCTACCTTTGTATTTTTCTATATTCTGGATTATTGGAATCGTATGGGTAAATCATAAAATTATTATACTAACCTATATCACTGATATCAAGAACACCTAAATATGAATTTAAATTATTTTTTACTGTGTAGACCATTTATTACTGGTGCTCTGAAAATTCTCGCAACCATAATTGTAAGGTAATTTCCGATATAAATTCAGATAAAAGAGGTAGCACAATGTCTATAGATGCTTCGGATGTATCTGATAATGAATGTACAAAACGCAATAAAAAAGGATTAAAACATAAGGTGTATATCGATAAATGTACTCAAATATAAAATTGAAAAAAATTTATTTGTTAATATTTATTATATTATACCTGACCACATTTTTTCGTTTCTTACTACATTATTAATTACAGATCAAAACGTGTTGGCCAAGCAGAACATCAATAGCTGAATTTTAATATAGATATGAGAGAAAGTACTTTCCTTGGCATTAATTAAGTTTTAATATGATTAAGTTTTAAATATAAATTCTGGTAATTTGACTGTAAAAAAATAAACTATAGACTTTGAATTTTTTTAAGAAGTCAATTATTTCTGCATTATTTTATGATTTATTTGTTTTAAAAACTACAAGATATACTCTTACTACATATTGAAGTTTAGTCACATGATACTAAACAACGCTAAACGAAGTACTTGAAAATTACGAAGTACAAGATACATCACAAAATGTGTAACATAAGCTGTCCTGAATGTCATAATCTATTCAGTAGAATTAAGCTATTAAATAATGATATTATTTTAAATGTAACAATAAAAACAGCAAAATATAAAAAAAGATACAAATATACATTCCAATATTGTGTTACAAGAAACACAATTAATAAATTGATAAATAGATACATTGATAAGTTCAATGAAGATACATACTTTATAAAATTTGACTTGTTACGTAGAAACATGCTTTTATGTAAATGTATTATATTTATTGTATAAATATTTATGTCTAGAACAATTCACATTAGCAAGCAACATTCACATTAATTGCAGGTAAAAGCGTAAGATTTAATTTTGTGATTAAATTATTGCTAAGGAATGCTTTTAATATTTAATAATTGATATTCATTGGGTAATTATTTGGATATTACTGCCACTTTCTTTCATTGAATGTTTAGTATTATGTAATGGCTTCGAAATGTCATTATAAAAAAAAAACCTACATAGGAAATTATAAACTAAAATAAAATTGATACGAAATTATAAATTTACAATAAAATTTTAATTTATTTGTACTAAAAGTAATGAGCTTATGAGAAGCAATAAAATAATACCAAAAATTAAACATATTTGATTGCTTACAAATAGCATACCATGATAATAGGAATAATAATAAAATAGTAATGCTAATAAACTTAATAACAATATACAATGCTTTGTTATCACAAAGCGATAACGCGTTTAAGGTAGAGGCCCGTAAATGATACAGAAACATGATAATATTGTCATTTCCTGCATTATTTCCTTCTTATATTTCGTTATCCTTTTCCCTTTCTTACACTTTTTTTAATGAAACCACTCACGATTAATCAGGAAATGTTTCTGCGTTAAGCTAAATGTAATTAGAATACAATACTGCACCATCAAGCAATTTGCATCTTGCACTGCCGTCGCATAGTTAATATCAGAATATTGATGTTTAATATTGATGTTTCGAGTAATCAAAAGCTCTTATATTCTATTCTTAACAGTAAATATTTTGAATACGAATTGTTAATATTCGAAATCCAAAATATTTTCGGTTCTATTTTCTTTGGTGGAACATAATTGTACCTTCACATGTTACTGATAATATCTAAAAGATACTAAAAAGAATGGCATTCACTCTATACATAATTATGATACTTCCGTTAACATAAAACTGCAATTTATTCTACTTTACTAATTTTCTTTATATTAAACTACCTTTAGATGATGCGTTCTGAAAGACACAGGCATAGAATACATTATCATAAAAAAAAAGATTTAAAAAAAATGAAAGATATATATATATACACATACATATATTCAAGGACACGTTTACGTCACAAAACGAAACTTATATACTGTTGTACATAACAGTAACTTTGTATAGGAAACTAGAAACATCTTTCATTGTTAGTATGAATAAAGAATTCGATTTTATACACTGTTATCGTTCTGACCCGAATAATAATTTGTTCGAATTATATCACAATAGACAAATGATTACATCCTAGAGTATGGCAATTTCACAGCATACTAATTCAATGGAGATCTCATATAAAAATAAATAAGGACTTTTTTTTAAACGAAATATTCGATAAAAATATTAGTTAAAGTAATAAATATCTAAATAATATTACAATATATTAGACTTTCATATACTAGAACAATTATGATGAAACGATTTATAAACGAAAGTTTTGAATTAAATGGAACGAAACAACCACTAGGAAAATGATGATAAAGTATACATATTACACTATACTTTTTTTTTGCTTTATAATAAAGAAAATTTTCTAGCACGATGTATTTTTTGTAAACGCATCGATGAATCATTTTATACGCATGTTATCGTTACATTGTGATTATTCATTGGTATCATAAATATTTTAAAGTTATCGTCCAGCAAAATAATATATGTCTCTAATGGAAAGATCTACGTATGATTTTAAGCATAAATAAGCGATTTACTTTGAACTCTTTTTTATGTGAATAATATATGACGAGTCCTTTATTTATTAGAGCTCGTTAATATGCTTCCTAATTGATGTAATAATTTTCTTATAAATTATACTGAAAACAAATTTTGACGATATCGGTAACTTACTATGTAGTCCTATTACTTCATGAGGATTGGAATGTGTTTAAATTTAATTGTAGAAAACCATGTGTACTAATAATAAATTATTTCTACGCACATTTAGCGATACTTAAGATGTTTCGATGGGCAAACAAAACATGATTTATAAGTCTATGACCACAGTGTAAATTGGTCGACTTCAGAATCAAGAACCCTACGTGTAATTAGTTCCATAACACATGGAATATAAAAGACGATTAATAGAATCGATCATTATCGAACGTTTCTTCTTTAGAGTAAAAATTCTAAAATATTTTCATTTAGGTAATTTGTCTTTGAGCGTAAAGTTCTTCGAGTGATGGTACTTCCGGTATTGGATCTCGCCAATACGCAAAATTACTAAATTCATCCGCGGCATCCTCTCGCCAGGCTGGGAAAAGATGATCGACAATAAAACTCATGTTTGAATATCTGAAAAAAATAAAGGTAAATGAAATATTTCGAATTTATTGTTGTATTACATTGCGTGTCTGCTAATGAAAATCGGAAAACAAAATCTGGGATAAACGTCAAATGCATAGTTACATTATCAATAATAAGGTATGAGTATTGCTCTATGATACATATGTATGTAACAAAATGTTGGCGAAATAATTCGTCTTCGTTGAAATCCTATTAACATATATACATACTATGTATATATTACATCAGATATGTGCATGTATATGTGTGCGTGAGTGAGTGCGGACGAGTATGTGCAATGGTTATATATAATGTGATTATATATATATTCTATTTAATTTAGGCTTTTTCTATTATCTAGAAACGCAACAGGTTTAGAAGTATTTGTACTTTAGCAGAATATTATCGCTTGATCGAAGATTTTTCCAAGCAATACTTCTCATGCAATTTTTTACTTTAGTTTCTGAAATAGCTACAGGATGAAATTCAGCAATGTAATTACCACTCTCCATATTCAATTAAAACAAATTTACGATACATACAAGTAATATGTTCGAAGTACTTGGTTGAATATTCGTGCATAAACAAAAACAAAATAAAAATCCTTCTTTCACACAATGATGACATACTTAGCGTCTATTCTTTCTAAATGTTTCACGCGTATGAAACGATATTAATGTTACACATGATTTAGGAAAAAGTTATTAATTTCAATAAAAATTCCGTCTGTATAACACTTAAGGTAATGAGGCTACATTAAGATCACTGGAGATGAATGAAAATGGCAACGATGAGAAGCAATTGTGTAATAACCAATGCTTACCCTATAAGAATCATAAGAAGATAGGTAGTTCTTGCACAACCAAATACCTCAAAGCATACTAATGAAATAAACTCAAACTAAGGAAATAAATTGAACTTCTAGCTTTACGAAAAAAGAATTAAAACATAAATAGAAAAAAGAAAGGAAAAAGATTGCCATTGGAAAAATCTAATTGTGCTTGTACTAATTTCCCTTTGTTCAATAATTTTTGGTTTGAATCATTATCAAAAATATATGTAATTATACAGTAAGATATACTGCATTGATTACATGTGATTATATATATATATATTGATTAACTATGTGATGAAATCACTAATAAACTGCAACTATTACTAAATTTACATAGAAAATAGAGTGTATAAAATAATATTTCTGTCACGAGGTAGCAAATTTATGCATATCAAATAAAAAGCACGACCAATGGCACAGATATATAGTTTCGTAAAGATCATTATCGAAATATTATCAATTGGATTAATAGAATAAAACAGCTATGGTTGTGCCGCCATCAGTAGGTGTTTCACATGGGTAGTGGCGGGAACAACTCATTGACGATATCGCACTGACATGCGTAACTGCAATCATAGAAATATCCGACCTATCAGTACCTATTTTTCAATAATCAATTTTCCTTCCTTGCAAGGTACCTTATTTTTGACTCATTAACTGTATGGAATACAACTGTTGAATTTGTTTCATATTAATATTACGAAGTATCTTAACAATACTACTTGGTAAATTAATTTTTGTGCATTCAAGAAAAATCTAATGCACATATACAACTTTTAAAAATTACGCATAAAGATGTAATAAATTTCAATGATTATAATTTCTTATTAATGATTAATGATTACGATGTCCTATCAAAAATATGAACGTGCATCTGCTTTTGGAATTACATGTTCCAACCATCTTACAATTTTTTATAAAATAGATATCATAAAAAATTAACTAAATATTAACGCGCTAATAAAACTAATTAAAATTGCTAATTAATTTGATCACTACATTTGTATATGGGTACCTAATAGCACTATAATAAAAGATAACAAGACAATAACAAATTAATTAGAAGAAATAATAGTAAACATATAAATATATATAGTTACTTACGAAGATTGGAATGTCTGTGTTAATTCGTGTTTTAATTCACCTCTATGGTTTATAGTAAATATTCGCATAGTCGGAATTCCTACAGCTCGATATGCCCAAACATCCTAGACAAAAAATTTCATTAATACTTTAATATTCATTTAATAAATAATATTTTATTATTCATCGGTAATATTCATGAACACTTTGGTAGAGTATTTGGGAATAATTATTACAAATTAAACAAAGTATTTACATTAATTCTGTTTCCATAACCAGCATAGAAAGGTTTTGAACCTTCCGGGAATAAAGCTTGGATATCACTAAGACAGGATATCTTGAATTCTTCGGGTTTTTTCTCTATAACTTCGCGATGAAATGCTGAAATTAAGCTCGTTGGATTTAAAAGCAGCGGTCCATCAGGAAGCGATAAATCTCCCTGTCTGATGCTTTTCAAATATTCTCTTGTAACTTTGGCTTGTCCTATTGCTCTTGCAGAGAGATATAGCAATTTATAACCATTATTTTTAATTTTTGTGAATAACTGAGCAACACCAGATTGTGCCCAATCTTTGCCAACGATTGGCAGGATATGACCCAATACATCAGATTTTGTAATGGTCCCGTCTATATCGGATATAACAATTTTATCGTCCCATTTCCATTTATAAATGTGGCATTTGCAACGTGTTGTACCCTGATAAGCCGTAGTTACACTGAAAACTACTTCATTAGCACCATCTTTTAAATTAAGACTTGCCTGTAACGAAAGAACAATAAAAAAATGATATAAAGAATACAAAATAAAGTTGGATCGTATATATATGAATATATTTAGATTACAAGTAATCTAAAATTTGTTTTGTTTTATAATTTTGCGAACTTTTTACATACTATTTGTGCAGATGATAATCTTAAAGTTTTTCGATATTTTTCAGTAGATTCATAATAAGATCTCCTTTCTTTGGGTATCTTAACTCCTTGTGATTCATTTTGATTACTATCTGAATCTTCACTACCGCTATAACCTTCACCTTCTCTTTCTCGATTTTTTTCAGTCTTGGTGATGTCTTTTGTTAATTTTGTACATTGTTCTACTATATCCGTCACAGTTACTGCAGATTCTGCATTCTGGTCAATTTTTAGTTCTTTATTCGGTGTTTCGTCAGTTGGTGTACTTTCTTTCATTTCCACTATCTGTTCCGAAGATTGAAGAGTAGTTCCATCTGCTATAATAGGTAAGAAATGATAATATGGGTACTTGTGTTGAAAAACAATAAATAATGTTAAAAAGAAAAAATCGTCTTACTTTGACTAAGTTCTTGAGACTTTTTTGGCGGTTGTGTAGTACGTCGCCATGAAAACCACGAACTATAACCACTACGGCTTTCGGATTTGTCACTGTTTTCTTGCTTTTTTTCTTCATGCATTGGTAATGACATACATTGTGCATATAAATTTTCTATTGTATTTTGTGGCAAGTGTCTTTGAAACACAGCGTAAGTCATTACAATTGGACAAGCGGCAGTCCAATTATAGAACTTTCCATTAATTTTTACAACTAAATTTGGATTTTCATATAATTTCGGATCTGAACAAATATCTTCGAAATGGAGTAAATTTTGATGGAAAACTTCCTTGGACGGACCAGTTTCCGAATCTAAACCACCACATAAAGATAAACTAATATTCATGTTGTTATCAAATATAGAATGTTTTGGTTCTTCAAAATCACTATCCAATGATTTTGGTCCACCAATAGCTCCTTCAACGCTATTAGGACTTTGCGGCAAACTTGGTCCATTTCCCGACTCGGTATCTTCTTCGTCTACTCCTTTTCCATCTGTGAATATATCATATAATTGCCTATTTTATACTCTTTGTATAAGAAGATATTTGTATTAAGTTGCATTTATAGAAATGAATTGGCTACCTTTAATCGCTGTTTGGCCCCTGTGAGAAGAAGGAAAATAAAGGGCTGCAACTTCCGGATCCAGCTCATCAGCATTAAGATCACTGAGATAAATTCCTTCAGACTCCGGATTACGCCTCATGCGAGAAGTTTTTCTCATAAACGATAGCATAGCACTGAGCATAGATCGATGTGCTTCTACTATTATGCATACCATAATTAACATATTAGTATAGAGTATAAAAAATGACATTTTTATAAAAGCACAAAAATAAAAGAATATATTTAATTAATTTATAGATATAAATATAATAATTTTAATAAAATGAAATACGATGTTTCACATTTTTCCAATTGTACTAACTGTTTTTAGTTATTAGACTGTTAGACTGATTAACAGTATTCGAGGAATTTAGTGAACTTCGGTGAGGTACGTGTGCTGGTTCCGGAGGTAAACTTGGTAGTTCACCCCATCTCCAACTCTGTTGATGACTTTTATCTTCTTCTCGTTCAGCGTCCTCTTGCGTTAATTTACGCATTTCAAATTCTGTGTCAGATTGAACAGGTGAACATGGTCTAGAATCCTGATTCCTATTAAATACAATGACAATAAAAGAATAAAAATATTAATTTTACATATAATTATTCTGTATACACTTTTTACAACTTCTATAATGTTACATAATCACATTCATTCTAATACACACGTGTGAAATTATATATGGTAAGTAATAACTTTAAACATATATCCAACAACCTTACTTTGTAACTTCAGTATCACTGAAGAAATGAAAATCTGCTTCAGGACGTTTCTCCACTGTTTCTTGAGTCGAAACTAAAGATTCATTTTTCTTCTCTAATTCAGTAACTGGATTTGAATCTTTCAATATCTTTAATCAATACATATATATCAATATACAATGAGTGAAAATCCACAACAGAATGCTTTAAATGCAACAACTTACAGATCCGTCGTGAGATTCATCTGGAAGGGACGTATCATTTTCGCTTATCTCTGTTTGACTACTACTACCATTACTAGTCTTTCTTTGAGATCCCTTTTTTTTCATAATACTTTTCCTCTTTCGCTTCCTCTTAGTTGAATTACTGTTGCTTTTATTCTCTTCGATGCTTTCATCCTTTGAATTCTTTTTACTCGTCGACGGGTTTGATTCGTCACTTGATTTTTCGCGGCCACTGCTTTGTACATCCTCCGTAATTGGTCTAAAATCATTCTTCACTACGCTGATTTTACGAATTCTTTCAGATGAAGTCACAGCTATGAAAGATTTAGGAGTCGATGCAGTTGGGCATGTTTCATCGTCATTAATACCATCCATGTCAAAAATGTCTTCCTCGCCTTTCAAGGAACCTCTTCCTTTTACTCTCTCTTTTTCCTTCCAATCATTTAATAAAGCTTTCTCAAATTTTTGTCTTTGATCTACAGAAAGTTCAGGGAAGTTTTCTTTAAACAATCTTTCTCTATCTTCGATTTTTAAAGCAGAGAATTGTTCGCAGATTAATTGTTGTCTTTGAACCGTGGAGATATCGCCAAGATTTTCTTTGAACATTTCTTCTCTCTCCTCTGTTGTTAAAGAAGCAATTTGAAGCCATTTTGCACGATGCTCCGGTGGAAGATCAGAGAATTGTTCAATTAAGAATTTTTCTCTTTCATCTGGAGGCAGAGCTGACATTTGTTCCCATTTCTCTCTTTCAATGGATAAAATAGATTCTATGAGAATCTTGTCCCTTTGTTCCGGAGGAAGATCAGACAGGATATTAAATCTAGACGATGGGAAACAATTATCTTCGGGGATAGGAGAACAAGCTAAATGTGGTGGAATTTCAGTGTCAGTAGGGGAACCATCGGAACTAACTTCTTCAACAAAGAAAGCTTCTCCAGAATCTCCTAATTTCATATGGATTTGTCTAGGTTCTCCATTTATCTCTATATCAACCTGTTACGAGAAACAAAGGAGAAGTTATTTTTCCTCTATACGACTTTTAATGTACCAAATAAAATAAAACTATTTAAATGTAAAATATTTAAATTAACTAGACACTATAAATCAATAAGAATAAGATTTAAAGATACAACATATAAGATATGAAACAGCATGATAATGAAGATTCTAGAAGTTTCTACGAATTTATGTACCAAAAATATTAAAATAGGTAATATAAAGTGCACAATATAAAAACAAAGAAAAACTTACTACTTTTTCTCTGGAACGAAGTACACCGAGTTTTCCAAAGCGCACATGAAAAGGTGAGCAATTGAACGATCCATCCGGCTGTTCGACAACAATGACATCGATAGCGCCGGTAAGCGTCGCTGCATTAATTTCATTGTAGAAAACTCGAAAGTTACTTATGAACTTCCCAATGTAGTTCATACTGTACATTGTACACTAACGTATCGTTAAACCACTCTCAAAATGTATTTCCGTTAAGGTGTTTCACCGCGTTGTAGCGATGGGTGTGTGATAAGGTACTTCAAAGTTGCCGCGACACTGAAGGTCGTATTTGCTTAAAGGTCTTTCGAGTAGAAAGACATCGAGTTCAGATACATCAGTTTGAAAGTTGACTTAACCACATTGAGACATTTTTCAGTGATATTCGAAAAATTCACAAAATTCGTTATTTCTCGTTTAAATGTATCGAATGCTACACTCGAATTGTTTTTTAATTGAGCTCAACAATTTTTAACAACGCCGTAACACAACCGTCACTGTTAGGAGACGGTGAAGAACTGTCAAAAATTCGAAGCCGGGCAAATAGCTCGAGCGCAGATCTATGACAAGCTTATCGCGCAAGTTGCGCATCGAAATTCACGATAAAATAAACATACGTTGAAAAATGCAAAGAAAATAAACTCATCTAACGGAATTCACTCGCGTGACTAGATCGAAACGCAAATCCTTTGTTCTCGGAAATGGTTTGGTAAGAATTTCATCCGAGTACCAGCAGACGGTAGCCCAAATTGACGTTAGAACAGGTCACGTGATCTGGCTTAACCAATCCAAGTTCCGATACGCATCGGTCAATAAGGCTCGGCACCACGTGACGTTATGGAATCGCAGTGTACCGCGTCCTTTGAATCTCGTTACAAGACCTGAAATAACAAACAACGATATTTGTTTACATATGATTGACTAATTTTATTTTAAGTTTACCACTCTATTTCTCAACAGATATTTTCAAACTGAACGCAATAAACGATACAGATTCATTCGAATTCTCAGACATCTCTGGTCACTTTATTAATTACACGAACAAGGAGTTTCGAATCACGCTTAGTTTAATCGCAAAAGGTATAAAGATGTATTTTGATAAAAATTGTTCAATTAAATGGCACACGGTGCACGAGAAATTACATAAGACGCAAAATGAAAAATCCCGCATGCTATAAGGGTACCAGAGGAAGAATTTCGAATGAAATCGAGTTAATGATATTAATTTCTGTTTAGTCTGTATATCGTTATCTACGCAAAATTAATTATCAAAAATTCGTTACACTGTGATCGTGAAATTTCGTTAAAGCTGAACGAGAATTTAATTATTGTACAACAGTCTTTGCTTTACTATCTTTGCTTAGAGCTCGCAATCTCAGAATTTGATTCCGTACATTATTAGCATTTCAAAGAATTAGTACCGACTATTTTTTTTCTCCAACTCTCGTGTTCGAATAGGTTGAGAGCTAGAGCGAGAAGAGTCGAGTGCGAGTGAAACGCATAGAAAACTTATTTAGCATATGTATATAGTAATCCACCGATACGATGTACCGATGTTCTACGGTCGATGAAATATTTCAAAAACTCGTTTTCGATATAAGGACACCTTAAGTGAAAATAATTCCGAAATTCGTATATCGATCGAGTCAAGGTACACGCATATGCGTACGCGTACATGAAATTTCACGTTATCGTGTATGCGTATATATCGTCGTCACCTCGTAGATGCAAGATCATCGTTAAGAAATGCGGTTAGGTGAGCACGAAGAACCGATGGAACAATCAAAGATCGGTTCAAATCAACACAGAGCCCGGTAACGTGCACGCAATGATTGCGTGCAACAAAGTGACCGCGGATACGAGAGATTGCTCATTATCTCTGCGCTAGTCATGCACGAGCAAAGATTATACAGCGTATTTTTGAACCTGGCCAATCAAACAGATTGCGGGCAAAGCTTTTAGACTGATAACTTCCAACCGACCGATAATTCGTTCAAAACATCTGTACGATCCAATACCTCTATCTTTTTTATGCTAATCGTTGAATAAATCATGAAAATCATGAATCGCAATTACGTTCGTTACGCTATTGTGTTTCAGAGGTGACTGGCGAGAAACGAGGCTTCGTATTATAATCGAATTTACATAACAATCCGATGAAATTTTCGAAATATAGATACATATGTATATCGCAGAAGACGATTTCATCTTGCGTAACTAAATGTCTCTATCGTCGAAGCTCTCTATCGCGGAAATGTTTATCGAATGAGCAACATCGTTAATTGGACAGATTTCAAAAAATTCAATGTTTCTCCGCCCGATATAACGAATCCTTTGAAAATTCATCTTTTCCTTTCGTCTTTTCGTCTCCTTTTTCAATGACATTGAAACAACAGGTGTAAATATCGTTAATGCACCCGTTACGATCGTTAGTGACTATATGCAGATATACTTGTGCACGTTAGAAAACGCTGGTTGGAAAGAGAGCGTCCATTTGCGTGAATCACTCGAATAAACAATTTTTTCGGATGCACGTGTTGCAATGCTAAATTCAAGACTAAATTTCGAAAAAATCACGATAATAATCCGGGATCCCGTACACTCACAGACCAATTCGCTAAAATTCGGCGAGTCGCCAAAAGTGAAACACAATCGAACTAGAATGGAATACTCCACGAAAGTATTGCTCGTTTCGCAGGTCAATACCAACTGGTCTAGTCGTTTCCTACTTCTTCCTGCGACGTCTTTGCTTCCTTTTTTCTTTTCCTCTCTTTCTTTTTATCGTCAGTCGCGTACCTTGAAATTGTGCAATTCTGCACATCGTTCCTAGTTATTCCCTCGTGAACTCCTGTGTATTCACGATTGGATCGAGAACGGCGAGGAAAGTAAAGGAAAAAGAAAAATAATGTAAAACAAAGAACGCAAGAGCATACTATCGCTATATCACTGTCACGTGCAATGTGGGCTTGTTACGATGACGCACGTTTATGCAATATCAGCTGTTTTACGTTTAATCGTGCTTCACCTTACCCAGCGTGGAAAGGCTACTTTAACGTGTATCGTAAGTGTGATGTAAAAGCGGCAAGCGAAAGTAAACCGATCGTAAACGCAATGTGCGCTCAGACATACCGTCTCGAGCCAATCGTTTCATCCCTTCCATAATCCACCATCGTTTATTCCTTCCTAGGAAAGTAAAATCGGTGTCGAAATGAAAAATTTCAAAGACATCGAAGTTTCTCAATCACGTTGAAATCTTGTTCGAAAAGGCAAACGTAAAGAGAAAAATGATCGATCGAAATTCGACTGTTACCGGGCTTTCTTCGGCGGTGAACACCGTTTCACGTGCGATTTCCCTTCCCCCAATTTTTCCCAGTAGATTACGCGAATTAGATTTGTTCCGCGGAAACGTAATTACGTGACTACAGTGTCGCGATCGATAAGCGACAGGCGTGTCTATCTATCCAGACCTCTTCCCTTTAATCTCACCGCTTTCTTCCCCCTTTCACGTTACATGGACCAGCGAAGGAACGAAAACACGCGACAATAGACTGACAGCGAAGAACGAAGAATTTGAGGAGAAAATATCCGGGAATCCTCGATGGTTGGCCTTTACCCAGAGACTGACTCTAAGGTCATGGACACGACACTGAACTCTACGTATCGTACGCGAATATTTCCTCGGTGAAAAGCCGATCAATCTAGCGTAGACACTGATCGAGTGGAACATCCTCGAGAAATCGAAGACAATGATTCGAAGAAGAGTGATTCGATGAAAAATTGTGGATTACGATGCGTCACATTGCACAGAATCCACTTTAGACCTTGAGCTTTGATCGCTCTACTGCTTTCGACGAAAATACACAAGATCGAACCTATGAAAATATACATACGTGACGAGTTAGAGGTAACCAGTGCCAAACGGCAGATACGAAGATAGGCAACTAAATGATGCAATTCGCTTTTCTTCATCCTTAACGTCGCTTTCGTTTCGTGCATTGAGACTCTGCTTCTCTACTTCTCGAAATTTCTGTCCAATTTGGAAAAAAGTATACTTTCAAACGAGTCGTTGTTCCGCAACGAAATGTGCACGCGAGTAGCAGGTGTCTCTACTATTCGTTCACCCTCGAAATCAACGCGTATAATATATACGCTCGATACTTGTATACGAATAGGAAAGCGGCAGAAAATGCCAAAATATTTTATAATTGTTATTTCATTACGGTAAACGTACCATTGATAATACGTACGTTTTCTTCTTCTCACTCGTCTACTTCGAAACGCAATTCACGTGGTTGTTGTTGCGGAAAGAATCTGGGGAGGCAATGAAAAACACGCACGCGCACACATGCCGTAATGGTACTAACGAAGCTTTCCCATTCGCCGTTGAAAATACTTAAAAAGTTCGATATCAAAGAGATTCCGTGTAATATCGATCGCAGGAGTCAACGGAATATTCAGGTTCCGTTTGATACACGTATGCTTTCAAGGAATTTCGTACAGATATAACAATATCACTGTACCGTGGAAGGAAAAATGCGCACGAACCGCTTCGTGCGAGCATTCGAGTCAAACTGAGTCAGCGACCGGAGAATCTTAAATCTCGATACTGTGCTTACGTTTTATCGTAGTCGCGCGTCGATCGTTCGACAAATATATGCTATTCGTGCTCTTAGAGCTATAATACGTGTATGCGGCCATAAAGCGTTGAACGCGCGTAACACTGGTAAACACGATTCTCTCACCAAGGCAGAGAAAACGCGCGTGGCTCCTGTTTTCGCCTAACGGAAAGCTTTCTGATTGGTCGTTGATGCTCGGACCAGCAATCGAGCCTTCTTCTCCCTTCTTAGGAGAATGGGAGGAAGCGATATGCGTTGTTGGATCGTTGACCCAGATTATTCGACGCATCTCTACATACATGCATATGTAGCTGACTACCCTGCAGGTCGCGACACGTTTCCCCTTCGTAACGATATGTCAACCTAATTCCAACACGTGAAATCCTTTTTACGTTTCCGATAGAGTTTCAGATTCTTTCATGGTCAAATTTGTCTCTTCCCTCGTATATATGTATAACTGCCGTCAAAGATTTATGTATATACAAAAACGATTGCTTTTTTCAATAGTACGAGCGAGGTTTATCGTAATATTTTGCAGTTTCCTGCACGTGGTCAATGATGTCTATTGTGTCGGCGAGGTTAACCACCTTGACGAGAATCCACCGCTAGGAGTCACGTATATATACATGCTTGTATTGCGATACTGTTGAACGAACAACGGAATGAACCAACGATCAGCTAACGAACGAATGCAAACAGGTAAATATCGCACAAGTAGGGAAGTCGAAAGTACGACTATTGTTGACAAATAAAGATCCTTCGAACAAGAAAACATTCTTGCTAATGGCTGTTTACGCGTCATTATGCAGTGTCGTTGCTCGGCTGTTTATCACTTAGCGCAGCCAACTTGGCTCGATCAAGGCGGATATGCGGCACGTGTATACGTGCGGTCGTGCAGAGCTGTGCTGAAAAATAAACCAATTTCGTAATACACTATAAAATGTCACGATTTCTATGTTCTTCGATCTGAACTTCCCTATTGGCCTATCATAACAACGATTAAGAGAATCGTATGGATTGATGAATGTAAATAACACTCGATTAAGAACGGCGTTTTGTATTAGACAGGTTGAAGGAATGCAGTAATCCGCACCGTTAACGTAAAAGATAATGTGCTTTTAACCTCGACGTTATGTTACGCTTTCTTCCCAATGAACTCGCTACGAATCGATAACTTTCGAGCTATTACGTAATATCGCAACTTGGTTTAATCAGTGCGCGCAGGCGCTCTTCGCTACGTATTGCGAATTTGTCGTAGGCCAATTGTGCGACGTTACTAACGAACGAAAAACACTAAACAAATTTTTCAAAATCGATAATTTAATTATTAGTTATCGATTTGGTTACTTAACGATACCGGTATCTGAAATATTTATATGCAAATAATTCTTCGATATTTGTTACGTATATATCGCTTTGTTATTGTAAACAAGCCTATTGTTATCATGCGTATTTTCGACTGTTCGTGTGATGTTTAATCTAAGTTGTGTTTGTTTGTAGAACGTAACAACAAATGGAAGTGTGATACGAATCAAAAATTTATTTGGTCATATTTATGACGTATTTCTTTCTTAATCGTCTTATTTTCACGTTGCATAGAACAACGCGCACGTTCTCTTAATATGTACATTAACATCTTTATATAACATACAAAAGTTACACGCACATTTTAAATAATTTATAAATGATCAAGCCACATAGTGATAAGAATTACAAATTTACGTAGAATTCTTAAATAACCTGTTATTTAAAACGAATGAAAGAGCTTATACGTATATTTTAGTAGAGTTTATGCATTTGAGGTTTTAAAAAGTGTAACGTAAATATGCATTGAATTTTTCGTCTATGCTCTATTTTATTTGTGGCTTTGTATTTAGCCGTATTTACCTGAAGTAATTTTTCCAATTTGGTTTACACACTGTTTGCTTTCCAAGTACATTGCAGTATTAAAAAATTCTCAATAATAATATACACTAGTAAAAAGGAAACAATGATCTACCGATGTGCGGTTTACTCAACGGTCAATAATTCGTTTTTTTCTCTCGATTATTTGATTTCCTCATTTTTTATGCGTTGAAACAATGAAATCAAGAGAAATGAACTGATTAAAGCAGTTGGTTGAAATACAACGTAAATCTTGGTCAGCTTAGTGAGGGCACTAGTGAACGACACTTGTTTACGTCGATAATATCGACGAATCGTAGCATTCGACTCAACAAGGTTCGAGTCCACACTTTTCTTGAAGATATAGCTTTTCTTCGTCGGATTCGACCGGTACAAGTCTCCCAAAACGTGTGACCTGTATACTCGTATATTAATCGATGTTACAAAACGTTCTAATTATCGATCTACATATTGACGCATTCGCTTGAAAAAACACGAAGCATAAAATTAACGAAACATCGAATCAAAGGGAAAGCTTAATTTCGAAGTGACAGTCGACATCCAAAATCAATAGACCAATGAGCGCCAATTTTTGAAACGACGATAACAAGGTAACTATACATCGGAGTATATATAAACGATATTGAATTACGAAAAACTCGTTCAGTGAATATCTTTCTTTAATTAGGATTTACGTTTCGTTTACTTATTCTTCAGTGTTTCTTTTAATGTTGGAGAACTTTGAAACTTTTGTTAACATTGATCGCTTTGTGAGTCAGAGGAGATTGGAAGCATTTACACGAGAAGGTTATGATCGTCCTCGTCATGTTTCGAGGAATCACTCGAGTGCCCGTGACATTGGCCTTAATATACGAACACGAACGGTACGCAAACATATTTTGAAAGTAACCCGAATGAGAATGATACGAACCCAAATTTGCCGTGGAAAATCTTATTTGTAAAAATGTGATATTACAGCAAGCTCGAAGGAGACAAAGCTTAATCTGATTGACTAAAATGATCCATGTTTGGAGCCTGGCCATGGGCGAAAACGAGCGAATTCGTCGCACTACGCGACTAACCTACTTTCCTTTCTCAACTCGCGGTAACAAACGGATACGGACAAGGTCGTTTCAAAGCATCTATTTCTTTACCGTCTTCTTTACTTATGAATACACGGACAATTTCTCTTTCAATGCTATGAATTATCAACGTTATCTCAAGGTAATCTCATAGTTTTCACGATCATCAATCTTAACATACATTCACATGTATTCGCGTGTATATACGATACGTAAAAAGAGAGTTCTTTTCGTCGATGTTGTTTTAACGATAAATAGAATAAAATTCCATATTGCTTGTTATAAACATTTTTCATAATTAAAAATATATTGTTCATATCGTGAGACAGTTCTAAGTAAACATGATTACAACGGTTACGATGATTCTAGAATTACCAGCGCCCAAGAACACGTGTGTGGCATTGTCAGTGCACACAATTCACGAACCCAAGTATTGATGTACACAAACTATACATATTTTCGTTACGCACATATTGTAAATAAGATATTGATTATGGGTCGTGCACAAACACGGTCAGCTGTAAAACCGAAAGTCAAATCCGTGGATCTCGCTTTCTCGTTGACCCGCTTTCGATACGGATTCTTCACTTTACTTTCTTCTACGAAATTAAAAGTGATTTGGTCTCCCTTTCATCTTAAAGCGGTCGTTCACTTACGAAGAGTACATCGAATAATTGGATTTGTGTATACGTGTACGAATGTCTGTGAAATAAACGAAAGCAGAAAGGAGCAACACATTGGGTAATGATTAAAGAGAATAGTATTCACCTTACAGCCTTTTCTCTTTTCATCTTCTGGCTACATTGAATTAACCTATTGCTTTTCCTCAGTCTCGTTACACAATCTTTTAGAAGTGAAAAGTCGCAGTTGTTATCGGCGCATAAAGAGATAAAACGTTTGCTATCGATACGAACATTGGACAGCCGTTTGGTAATAAAAACTAATAATGACATTTTTCTCAAATGCTTTATATTTGTTCAGCTTTTCCTACTATTATGTTTCAGACAAATTTGCTCTAAATCAAGTTGAGTTTCATATTTACAACTGCAAGCTTACTTTAAGAAAGATTAAATTGTACAATATCCGATGAGATTCTTCTTGATAAGCAAAAATTGTTACGAATACGAGATACGATAAAATCGAACTAATTATCGTGCAGCTGCATCGAAATATCATATCTTTTCTAGATCCGTCGGAATTCTTCCCTTTGGGATACCTTGATGAATCGATAATGTCTGTTGCATTGATCGAGAAAATTGGAAAATTACCAGTGACATTTCTTTGAGTTTATCTTAAAGGGATAAATGACTAATCTTGATCCTGGAATGTGCTATTTGTGATACATTTTATACGGTAGGGATATATTATTGATGAAAGATTGAAGATTGATTTATGATATGATCTATCAAGTTTAATTGACAAAAAAAATAATAACTTATCACTAATCTCATTTAATTATTACATTATCGATCGTTAAGATTTGTTATTAGAGACTGTATTTTTTAGATACAAAGATGATGATGTTGATGCACTTTGATAACTGGATAAGATTTGACTAGATAAGGTTGGGATTTCTCAATAAAAACAGAGAAGATGGTTACACGGTAGACAGATCGTTGGCAATTACACATTCGACTGTATCAGTGTATCATGGCTGTACAAATGCGAGTTCTTTTCTTGCTCTGCCTCTCTATTTTGTTTACCGCTGGCTTCGCGAACTATCTGGATAATGTGTAAGTGTTTGCGATCTATAAGTCAATAAACAATTTGTCCATTCACCCGATTCTGAAGTTTAAATTTCAGTGCAAGCTTTACAACAATATTCTTACCATGTACCGAACTATCATTTAATCGATGGACTAAATATATCTTTCCTACGGTACAGAAAGGATGACATTGACACTTCCGAAGTTACATCGGTGAAAATCAATGAGCTGTTCGACTCGATGTTACCCTCGATTCGAAGCTTTATTCTGGAACACGGATTAGACCCATTGAAGTTGAAAGACATATCCGAAAATCTGGTATTTATATATTCAACTGAAATCTCTCAGGTTTGAATACTTCTCATTCTTTTATTCTTGCTATAGCAAGGGGTAATAATTCATAAAAGAACTCTCAACTTGTCGAATGGCTGGCTACAAGGGCTGTCGAACGTGAGACGAACAAGCGACGTTATTTTTAGTTACAAAGATAAAGTTTTGACTCTAGATGCTATACTAGCATTTGACTTGGCTGATGTAAGGGATTAATAGAATCTTATCGCTATCGAATGCTTTCTCCGATGGATACAGAAAAAATATATTCTCTTTTGAATTTTTCAGATTAGCTACCAGTATTTTTACAAAGATTTATTAATCAGTAGGAAGGGAGACATTCATGGTCGAGTTAGGAATATGCGGATAAGACTAATCGTGGCACTCGATATGAACAAATATAAAATTGCTGTCCCTATGTCCAAGATCATTAACATGGAGTAACTATTGTCATATTTATTACATTTTACATATATAGGTATGGTTCATAAAACGTACGATTGTGTTCAATTAAAATTTTTATTTTTAGCAAATTTAGTATCACGCTCGAAGGAAATAAAATCGATCCGATAGTAAATGCTGCGATCAAAGTTGTTGCTAATGCATTTCGTACGAAGATTATAAATATGGTGAACGAAGAATTTTCAAAGATGGTACAAGGATTCGTGCAAGACATCAACGGAAAGATTCCGTCTCCGGACCGAATATTAGATGTTTTCCCAAAACATAACCTCGTTTAGTATATCAATGAAATATGTCCAACGATTGTTTCTCTTGGAAATAAAAGTGAAAACCGATGAAAAGCCTTTCGTCCTTTTTAAATATGTGTTTCCATCGAGAATTTAGAATACAGATATACATATGAAAAAACCTATCGCATCTAAGTTTTTATCCTATTATCTGATTAACGTATTTCTCTAATTTTTCAATTACGTGCCAAAATTAAGGAGAAGCTATGTTACCGCGAGAAGACACGGATATTCTTGTTGTCATATTCAGTTTTTCCTATGCCAATGAAGAAGTTATCGAATATCGACACAAGTTTATTTATAGCTGAAAGTATCGGACATTAAACATTTCACCACACGGTTGAAATTAAAGTTGTTCTACAATTACTGTATGTTCGTGATATATACGTATCTGACAATGGGTTATATTTCCTAGGTGAAGAACTGGGTACGCAAACAAAAGAAACAAGCTGCTATTGTTCGTCTTTGCATACAATACAGTCCATATATTCCGTGGCGATTCATTTTAATACGGGTATGTAGAAGAATTATCGTACATACACCTTCGATATATCGTTCTCGCGTGTATGTATTTTGCGTTACCTGTGTTTTACGTGATTTTTCACGTCTCGCAATAAGAGTCGGATCGGATGGAATCAAATCGAATTGAGACGAGTCGAATCGAGTCGAAGAGAGACGAGACGAGACGAGTCAAGCCGAGTTAAATCGAATCAAATCGAGTAAGAACGAGCAAAGCCGAGCCGAGCGATCACGCGCGATGCTGCTACGGCAGGCGTTGGTGACGAGCAAGAGGCAGACAGACGGTAGTGAGCGTCGTCGTGAAGCCGAGTCGAGCCGAGTCGAGCCGAGCCGAGACGAGCCGTACCGAGAAGTACCGAACTGAGGGCGCAGGACGCTTGTTTAGTGACAAATGCACGCACCGAAACGAGCAACTGTCAAACAGCTTTTCGGGTTAGGATCGATCGAAAAACGTATAAAGCATAAAACTGCAATCCAAATACACGTGGTGATTCACGCATCGACGAGAATTGCTTGGATTTCTCAAATATCCGATCGTATTAGAACAAGGATGAATAGCATAAAGAGAGAATGATAAAAACCACCGAGATGCAAGGTATTAACGAAGTAGAAACGTATTCGGACGACAGATCGTATTAGAATCGCGTTGAGAGGAGGAAGGGTTTGATGGGAAATTTGTGCAGGAAATGGTACAGATGACACCGGAATCGGTGAATTGGTGAGTGGCAAGAAAGAGGTGCAGGATAGAGGAAGGCAAAAAGAGTCGTAATGAGAGGATATGTCGGAGGTTGAGTCTGAAGGTGAAAAATCGAGTAACGATCGAAAACGACACGGTAATAGGTAGGGAAATAAAGGGAGAGAAAAGAGAGAAGGAAGGAAAAAGGCTGGTGCTGTCCGATAAGAGAAGGATTGGATAGTTGGAAGACACGAGAATCGAGCAGAGATTGTAAGCGGTGACAAGCGGTGACGAGCGGTGGCGCGCGGTGACGAGCGGTGGCGCGCGAAGCGGAACCGAGTCGAGCCGAGCGGAACCGAGCGGAGCCGAGCGCAAACTCGAGCGAGGCCGAAGCCGAAGCTGAAACCGTAGGCAAAAGCGAAGGAAGGTTCGGACTTGGGTTCGGCGCGGTAGCGCTGGTTAGCGAGCGGATAAGCAGCCAGGCGGATCGGCGGCGTATCGCGAGCGAGTACGGCCGAGAACGTGCGCGCGCGTTTAGTAATCGACTGCTGTTCTTTCGGCGAAGCAACTCGTATCGAACTCGTTTCTTCCTGAGGCGGGTGCGCGTCTTCCCGGCTGGACGCGCGCGTGTACCGGCCGTGTATGGACGGCGGCACGCGTGCACGAGTCGAGGAGGAAAAAGCCCTGGATTCGTCTCGCCTGCGATCCTCCGCTCGGCTCGGCTTCACGAGTTCCTCCTCGGCCGGCAACTCTCGTATCGCCAGGCGTAAAAGGAAGAAGAGGAGACGACAGCAGCGACGAAATAGCAACGTCGACGACGAGGACGAACTCGTCGTCGTCGGTGGCGGTGGCGGTGGCGGTGGCGACGGCGACGGTGACGGCGACGGCGACGGTGATGAAGTAAGCACCGTCGATGAAACTGTCGACACAATCCTCGCGATAAAGGAAGAACAACAGCAGTCGGCAGGGCAAGTGATTTCCAGCGAGGAAACGACGAAGCAACCAAAAAATCGGTTTTCGCACACCAACGAATCTCAACGAAACGTAACCAGAGGAGGAAGCGGCTCGCGCGCGGCTGCCTCCTCCCTCAGCTCCGGCAACACGCTTCTCAACCGTCGAGCTGCCAGCAAGCGATCGTCCAGGAGATGCAACGCGAACGCGCGTAGGACCGCGATGACGATGGATCTCCAGAGACTGATCACTGAGGTACACGCTAGGCCCGCGATCTGGGACCAGAAGAACGTCAACTATCACAATCGCGACGTCATCCTGAAGATGTGGCGAGAGATCGCGAGGGCTTGCGAGGTCTCCAGTGAGTATACGCCTCGCTCTCCTCTTCCCTCTGCACTCTTCTTTCCGTCTCTTCCATTCGCGCCTGCGTCGCACGCCTCTCTTACTCCATCTTTCTTTCCCTCTCTCTCTTTCTCCTTCGATTCCGCCCCTTCCACTTTTTCTTTCCCTCCCACTGCCTCATTTTCAACTGTTCCTACCATTCCTTTCCCCGCCAACTGTACTGCCAACGTCCTTTTTGTTCGTCGATCAAACGATCAAGAGGGCGAGTCAACGATTCCGAGAGCTTTTCCCTGTATATACTCAAACTCGTGATCGATTGCAAATCCGAGCATATATTTTTTTTTTATCGAAAAGTAACCTGCGCTCTCTCTTTCTCTCTCTCTCTCTCTCTCTCTCTCTCTCTCTCTCTCTCTCTCTCTCTCTCTCTCTCTTTCTGTCAGAGAGCATAGGATGAATCGATGTCGTTCTAACGTGCTTCGAGTTACAATCGATAATGGAATTTTAGCAAATATTTCTGAAACTTGATCGATTAGGAATTATTCTCGAGATTGACGATTAAACGATCCCTGGTTGCATTTCGATATTATTTGGATAAAAAAAATTTCGAATGATTTTCTCGAGGTAAAAAGAGGTTATAACGGATAATATTCGTTTCCAGCGGACGTCGCGAAATCGAAATGGAAACACTTAAGAGACAATTTTCGCAACGAATTAAAGAAAACTTATCGAGGAAAATGCGACGGTGGCGCCAACGAACACGACTCGAAATGGGTTTGGTTCAAAAGCCTATTTTTCCTGCGAGATCAAATGAATTCGAGGGTGATTGGATGCACTCTTTCGCAAAATTGTTCGGCAGCCCTTCGATCGTCGCCGGAGGAGACACAGATCGAGCCTCAGATCGATATTTTAGAAGGTCACGAAGAAACGCAATTCGACGATCTAGACGGTGATTCCTGTCAGTCTTTACTATCGAACGACGATGGCCTGCATCAAGTCATGCCCCCGCCCAAAATGAACAAGATCGGTAGGAAGCGAAGTTTGCTGGATGCGATGGACAATAATTATTCGGAAGTGGATCGGAAAAGATTCGAATCTCTGCAGAAAAGATTGAGCGTATCGCAGGAGGAAGAGGACGACACTTATCACTTTCTCATGAGCGTGCGAAATCCTCTCAAGAGTTTACCGCTCGATAGACAAATGTTTATCAGGCTAAAGATTCAAGAGCTGGTTTACAACGAGATCAATTCGCAGAATCAGCAGAATCGAACATACGATGTCTCGCAGGACGTGAAACCTCCGAGAACAGGGAACGCTAGCGGGGCAATTGGAAGCGGGGTCGGGCTGGCAGGTGGCGATGCAGGTCTCGACGAATCCGTTGCGAGTGCCGATACAAATGGAGCCGGTGGTGGCGACGGAGGTGGTGGCGGTGTTGGAGGTGGGTTAGGGGGAGGGCAGACCGTTAACGATATGTCTAACCACCCTGTGTCGTTACTTCAGAACTGCACGACAGAGGGCTCCAGCGACGATACCTTCTTCGGTTAATTTAATTTTACCTTTTAAGATGTAAGAACCGTAATTTTATTAATAGGAAATAAACGATGGTATTTTTTCAGTACACTGTTACTCATCATTCTTTTCGCTGCTCGCCGAATCAGGTCACCCGTTTTCCAGATACTGGTTTGCTCGTTGCATCATTCCCGCTGCTGCTACTGTTACCGTTACCGCTACTGCTGCTACTGCTACTACTATCGCTACTACTTTACTGTCATTATGATTGTTATTATTATTACTACTACTGCTACTACTACTACTACTACTACTACTATTATTATTATTTTTATTATTATCATTATTATCATCATCATCATCATCATCATCATCATCATCATCATCATTATTATTATTATTATTATTATTATTATTATTATTATTATTATTATTATTATTATTATATTTATCAAAACTGTTGTGACGACAAAATCAAACGAATCGTGTGCATTAACGATGCATCTAATTCGTCCATCGACCGCCGTTTCATCCCGATTTAAGAGCGAATCGCGCATACATACGTGAAAATGATTCGAGTTTCGCCCCTTTGCGTATGACACGATTCAACGTAAACCAAGTTCGATTCGCGTTCGAGCAGGTATACGTACATACATACGTTAACTTTAAACGTGGACTCTGTATGCAGAAGGAATCTCGTATTCTTAATAAGAATACGAAGCTTGAGGAGGAGCTGGTAAGCAAGATCGGGTAACGAGGTTCACAAAGGGGCAGGGAATAAAATTCGTGGCATTGCGTTTAAGGATTCACTCTGTCTCTCATTGAGCACGCGTACGCGTATGTACAACGTTATCGAGCGAAAAGTACAATCTTTCCATTCCACGAGTCTGCGTCACCGATGAAACGTATCGTTCACGGTATCGTGACGCTCGTCGTACAATGTCGCTCTGCTCTTTCACGTGACCGTATCCTCTATTGTTTCCCTGTACCGCTTCCAAACTACAACGTACGCGTAACGCGAAGCTTTATTCGCCCGGCTATAGAATCGAAAGCCCATTTTACGAGTTTCCTCGTTAACCATTGACAAGCGTGGTCTTACCGCGACCGATTGGGACAGTGTTATACGCGCCACACGCGACACTCGTCATTTTAATTTTCCTCCGCGTGTTTGAAAACCGTACAAGTATTCTTAGTTTCTCGTTGAGGCAAAGCGATCAACTCGCTTTTCCATTTTTCATTCATTCCCCATCGGGAAAACTATGCAAAACTATATACCGATCATATACGGTTCTCCGCGTGATTCGATTGAACAAATTGTCAAACACGACGTTGCGCGCGTATCGCGGAATACACGGTGCTCTTGCAGAGAATACGGCATTGTACGTACATGTCTCGTATGCCGAGATAAAGTCGTTCGAATCGAGTTTGCATCACAGTTCCTTGCGGTTGTTCACCGTTTAGTCGCGCACGCCGTGGTTATTGGACATCGAAGGAACAACTGGCAGACAAGCCGGTTTTGAATATAGCTTTAATTGAATCAGGTTATTAGGTACTACTCGCGGACTATCGGAACGCCTCGCTGCGATTAAACGTTTTCATCCGTGTTCGAGGAGAATCAGAAAAAAGTTGCTTCTGGTCGTTTCGGTTTGGGTTAGCGCTAAACCTACCATAGCCTAAAATTGAATATTTTCAAAATTTTTCATCGAATATTATCTTTCGATATCAAGTTTTGGTCACTTGTCTACGCGATTTGTCCTTTAGTATCGGTATAGTCAATTTTTTAGATATTTCCTTTTATTCTACATTTTTAAGACATCTTCCTCTTTTTATCCATCGGTCATTCGTCCTGTAGGGGTAGGTTTATCGTTAAGACACCGTTTATCGTCGCTTAACGAGCGGAGTCGACCCTCGTAGAACTCGAGACCGATCGTTTACTTCGGCGTTCCGATATTGCTCCTGCTGTTGTATCGTTGGCCACGTTTTCCATGGGAATTCGTGAAATAACGAGGTAACTTTTCGTTTGGATAGAAAAGTCACGTCGTCTAGACGGGATGCGCTATATTTGCACGGTATATTGCACCGGTTGAATAGCTCATTCGAAAGTCTGCCTCGTAGTCTGTTCAACGGACCACTCGGTTTTTCCATACAAAGAGGATTAACATCCTTTTCTTTGTTTTTTACTTTTCCCCGGGTTCCCTCTCTCTCTCTCTCTCTCTCTCTTTCTCTCTCTCTCTCTCATACTCGCTGTTCACCGTTTCGTTCCTTTTTCACGGTGTTTCCTCCTCGTCTTCTACGTTGCCAACAAACCATAGTACCGCTTTTCCTACTCGACACGACGACGTCGTGCAGACCCATAATCTGTCTCCTCTTTCGCGTCTAGTTAGGCCGGCATTATTCGGAGTATTTGCCGCATCGTACTAACGACGGAACCAATACTCTAGTAAGCGTGCGAACAATACGCGGTATTCATAGCTGAGGCTTTTAAAAAACGATTTTGAAATAAAAATACCGATCCTTGAGTTGGTGAGCGAAACGGGACGGTATTCACGGCGAAACCCGATAAATATTCCGAGTCGTGGAATACGCGTCAAGATTAATCAAAAGGATCAACGGGAATTTTCATTGCAAAGTCTGCTCTTTGCCTTTCGTAATCGTTCGACTGTTAACATCGATATCGCTTCGCGTTCGTGAAATTTTCGTGCAATATTCATGAAATTCGAGAACTTTTGGTAAAGAAGAGGACCGGTCCCGCGACGAAACCCGAGCTTTTGTTTCTTCTCGTACCTTTCGTTTCGGAAATGGCGATCGAAACGAGAAAGTGACACTTTGAAGTACTAGACAGACACAAGAGACACGCGGCGAAGCGCATCCGGTGTGGCGATCTAGTTTGGGAAAACGTGGTCGTCGGCGGTGTGTGTTCGGTGTCTGGTCTGGTGGAGCCTGGTCTGGCCTGGCCTGGCCCGGCCCGGCCCGGCCCGACCCGACTCGACCCGGTCCAACACACACCAGACGGAATGAACGCGCGAAAGCGAGCGAGTGGAAGTCTACGAGTGAAACGAACCAACAGAGCCAGCCTCGCCAGTGAGACTTTAGCTAGCGCCCGATCCGGTACATTCCTCCGGTGCGATTTCTACTCGCACGCGCGCTCGCGCAGTTTCCAGCTGCCGCGCGGACCGACCGATCGCGTTCGAGCATCTGTGAAATTTGAACACCGGGAAGAAGCTGGCGTGTACGCGCAATCGAATCGTCTCGGGGATTCGCGCGTGTGTGGGAATGCAGTGACGGATATATTTATTTACGACAACGGTAAATGGCGGATGGAACGGTGCGGTGAGGGAAAGGGGATTTTTTGGAAGGAACGGGAAAGCAACGAGCTCGCCGAGGCCTCGAAGTAAGTGACATCGAACATAGTTACACGTAACAACGAACGCGTTCACTCGTGGTTAACTCGGTCGACCTTACGACACTCGCGACAGTCGGTGATCAGACGCTCGTTTACGCTCGTTCGACGAATCGCTCGATCGATCGAATCGTCTTGTCCAACGACTGCGTTTAACCACGTGGTAGGTATGGTCTGGGAAAAAATGGGGAAAAGCTGTTCGTGGGAATTCTCGCGCCAAGAGTACGCAGTTGCGCTTTCGAACGCGTTCAGCGAAACGAATTCGCGCGGCATTGGAGCGAAACGCGAGCTACGTAACGATTCGCGATCGCGTAACGTTGGTCGAACGTTGGTCCATTACTCGCGTTGCATTCGCGTTGCATTCGCGTTGCATCGCAAGAAAGGTCGACGTTGGCGTTAGGGGCCTGTGCGCGGCGCCTGCCGGAACCTCCCGCAAAAATTCTTCCTTCGAGCTGTAACGCTCGCCGATTATTGCGCGCAAACGTAATTACTTACTTACGAAAGTACTTACATTCTTCGCGAATACAAACGACGTTGCCTTTCTCCCCGCTTACGCCCCTATTCCCCTTTCGTCGACATTCCCTCGTCTCTCCCTCTCTCCCGTATGACACACGAGTCTTTTAACCTCTCTTCGTTTATCCCTTTAGCTCGACCTGCCTCAGTCGAGACGCGCGGAGCGTGTATAGGCCGTGAAAGAAGAGGGCCAAGCGAGGAGCGTATCGCGCCAAGGCGAAAAGGGAATTATCCGGTAGGATCTGCTGGTTTAAGTTAGACACCGCGAGAGAGAATTGATCGAGACGATAGGGATTCGAGCGAGAAAAAGGAATCGATCGCTGGTACACCTTATAAGGCGCGAAGGTTCGCGAGTATCCGCGCGCTATCGTCTTCGAATCTGGCAAAACCGGCCTTCGGCCGCGTTTACTTCTCGCATTTCGCAATTTCGACGTTCTACGGATACTTTCCACAGGCTCGAAACTACGAGCAATTCCGCAAGACTGCGCGGCGTGACTGGCGCGCGCGTACTCGCAAATTTGCCCGGTAAGAGAATAGTTTGGTATCGGCGGCGTTGAAAGAACCCGGGACTACGAAGAGGAACCGGAGAGAGTGGACCGGTAAGGCTCTCGTTAACGATTAACCCGTACGAAGCACCATGAACGTGAGTGGTATACGTCGAGGCGTGGCGATGCATAAACTGTCGCACTCGAGCCGCTCGTGAAACGTGTTTGCGCGGTCACGTTGGCAACACTAGCAGGAAATTGCTTTCATTGGACGCAGACAGAGACGCATCGGGTCGGTTCGCCTTGCCCTGCCCCGCGTACGTTCGCCGCGCCTCGTCGTGTCGCGCTTCGCGTTTGCGCAAACCTCCTCGAACCTGATCAAACGCGAAGCGTTTCAAGTACAACGGTAACCGTGCGAATTCGAAGGTTCGTCGCAGCTCCACGGGGAAATAATACGAAAGCTCGTGGTGCCCGTGGCTGCGAGACCGAAAGAACTACGCGATCGCGAAACGACTACACACACCATCCACCACCACCATCGTTCTTTAGTGTCAACGCGTTGCGTGCACTGATTCCAGACGAATCGTGCACTTCGATCGAAACCTTCTCCCACTCTCTCTCTCTCTCTCTCTCTCTCTCTCTCTCTCTCTCTCTCTCTTCCTCTCTCTTTCTTCTTCGCTCCCGTCCTATCACCCTCTATCCGACGGTTTGTTCGAACAGACAATTTGGTGTAACTGTCATGGAACAAGAGAGAAAGTAGGTAGTTAACCGATTTCATTGCGAAAAGAAGCAAAGGAAAGGAAGAGGAAGAAGAAGAAGAAGTAGAAGGAGGAGAAGGAGAAGGAGAAGGAGAAGAAAAAGCTGTTGTTTGGCTGGAAATGAGCGTGAGTCATCGGGACGAGGAGAGTGCGCTAGGACCGCTTGCACAAGCACGAGCAAACCTCTGGTTACTGGAGGGAGAACGATCTGGCTGGCAACAAGGTGGTTTGAGCAAACGCGTAGGTACGCGTTTTCGAAGCGAAGCGTGCAGACGACCGACGTCTGGACTACCGTCGATCCTCCGTTCGAGAAGCGGCCCGTGGACGACTCGTATGGACTGGCGGCCCCTCAGTCGGACGTCGAGCGCGGTCATCCACGCTCCGTTTATCCTACTTCTCTCTCTCTATATACATACGTCCACCGTTCGATCGTGAGTCGTTGGCGTGTCGTTTCCAACGTCTCGACTATAGAGACGCTACGCGACTCTTCATCGACGCGTAAACCGATCAAAGGATCGAGAGCGAGCCGAGATAAATAGAGACGAAGCGGCCCTACGCTGTTCGATCGACGACTGGATCGGCTAGATCGGCTAGATCGGCTAGATCGACTAGATCGGCTAGATCGGCTAGATCGGCTAGATTGGCTAGAACGGATAGGTCGTCGGGAATCGAGTGAGCGCGAGAGGACAAGCGACATGTCGACGTCGGATTTGGTCGGATACTCGCACGACTTCCTTACGGAATTCATTCAGCTGTACCGCAGCTTCCCCTGTTTGTGGCAGGTCAGGTATAAGGGATACAAGGACAGACTACTGCGAAACCGTGCTTACGATACCCTCGTGCAGAAGTTGAGGGAAGTGAATCCGATCGCGGATAGGGAGACCGTTATACGAAAAATCAACACCCTGCGAACCGCGTTCAGGAGAGAGTACAAGAAGGTGCGAAGCTCGCAAAAGATGGTTCAGAATCCCCGGCAGCGGTACAGATCCTCGTTATGGTACTACGATATCTTGAAGTTCGTCGCGGAACAGAACGAGACGAGTCCATTGGACGAAGAGAGGGACGTTAAGAACGCTTTGGTTAACCCGGCGGATCTCTCTCAAGAGGAGATGATGGTACGACCTCGTGCAATTTTTCTCGAGTTACCGAGACTGCGCGAATCCACGCTTCCCTGTCCCCTTAACCCCCTCTTCCTTCTCTCTCCTTCACGCTCTCTTTCTCCTAGAACCCTCCCGCTTTCTCTCTTCCACTCCCTTTCCTTTCCTTCCCTTCCTTTCCTTTCCCTTCCCTTCCTTTACGATCCCTTCCCTTCCTTTACGATCCATACTAATTTCCACTTCGTTTCACTTTCCATACTTACAGTTCGTCCGCGTTTTCGTAACGACTCTCCGACTCCCGATATTCACGAAATCGAATTTCGCGCGCAAACGCGATCCACGAATGAACCGTGTACTTCGCATACGCGATAACAATCGCCGAGATGGATATTTCGCCAACGCCGAGCTCGTTTCTGCCTCTTTTTCCTTTCCTCCCTTTTCCCTCCGCTTTCCCACCGCGCTTTCCCTCCGCTTTCCCTCCGCTTTCCCGTTCGCCTCTCTTTCATCATCGTTCCAGCTATTCGTCTTCCTTTCCGCGGCACTTTATCGATCCGGAAACTCGACGAACGCTAGAACGCTGCAGGGAGAACGCGTTTAAATCGGCAAAAGAAAGTCGAAACTCTGGTTCGGTAGCGCGTCTCGCGAATACTTTTTATCTCGAAGCGTCGTCGTATCGGCGACAGCAAACTCGACTCGACGCGACTCGACGCGACTCGACGCGACGCGATACGACGCGATACGACGTGATACGACGTGATACGACGCGATACGACGCGATAAGACGGTACGCGTAACGGCGTGACCGACCAATCGAGTGGACGACGGAGACGCTGTTTGAATCGCGTTCGCTCGTGGATGCGCTTCGAAAGCCATGCCTCGATATCCTCCAATTATCAGCTGGCAACCTAACTGTTTTTTAGTCTGTGCAAACGGACGTAGACAAGATCGAGCCACCGTCACCTGTACCGTCCCCGGGAGCTAGCTCCGTTCCGGCTTTTCAACCGATCATTCTGGAAACCGAGGGCTCGTACGCGAGGAGAATCTCGAACTCCGTGTCAACCGATTCTCTCCGAAGAAAATATCAGCAATCGTCAATCGAAGGAATCGACTCGCGAACTTTCGCCGAGACAGTTCGCTAGCTGCGTGACGGATGACCATTTCGAGACCTTTGGCCGCTACGTGGCTGGCAAATTGAGGAAGTCGATGCCCCGACAGGGTATCATCGCCGAGAAGATAATCGCGGAGGTCCTCTTGAGAGCTAATCTCGGCACCTTGGAGGAAGCTACTTGTCTCACAGAGAAAGTACCTTCCCGTTGCTTCTTGGTAATGGGCGATCGTTGAGTATCCTTCTCGTTCACCTCGTCTCTTCTTTCCTCGCTTCTTTTCCTCCCAGTCTTGTCCATGTTTCGCGATCGTTCGTCAACGAACGCGTCTACCCGTTCATCCGCCGCTGTCCGTATCGAGCGATTCCACGCATCCATGTACATACGTACCTGGCCGTTCCTAGTCCAAATGCACCAGTGTGCTTCGCGTTCAGTCGCCTGAGAGAAGAGCAAACCTCGGACGAACCTGTGCACCACGACAGCTCGCATCGCAGACCAATCGACCACTCTGGCCACTAGCCAACGAAACCAGCTTTTTTTTTCCTTTTCTCTGCCTACATCTGCGAAACTAGCCAACGACCATACGTATTTTTCATACACCAATAAACAGCTTCTATGCAACCCGATGACTTTCTATTTTTCCTTCCGCTTTCAACCATCCACGATTGTTCTACCGTTATTCCCATAAACTACCACCATCTTCGATCGATAATTATCGTTTTCTCAACGTGATTTTCCGAATCTCCGAAACTCCCTAAGTTGTTTCCACCCGCCGGGAATCCCCTCTTCGCGCTTCTTTTAAATCCTTCCCAACTTTCGCGATAAAACTTACGCGTAACCGGTCGGCCAGTTCCATTACGTCTAAACGATGTTTAACGGTCGTTACCGTAAGCGTTAACTGCTCCTTTCTTTTCGTTTCCCAAGCAACTTTCATTTTTTGCTTTTCACCGAGAAGTATCGCTTCTTTCTCCACTGGCGACACCCGCGATCGTATAAACCGAATCCTCTGCAATTCCGAGGTAATTACTCAAAATGAAACGCTTTCGTCGATATTCATACGTATAATTCCCTTTCGATAGTTTTAACGAGTAAGGAATTGTTTGGAAAATTTGAAACGTAACAGGTCCTGTGTATCGGAACAAAAGTTGACCGAAGACGAGGTGGCCGAGTGGTTAAGGCGTTGGACTGCTAATCCAATGTGCTCTGCACGCGTGGGTTCGAATCCCATCCTCGTCGGCGATGTGTTTTTTTTTTCTTTTTTTCCTTTTTTATTTCTACCGTATTTCCACCGTGACTCGATTATCCAAACGAAATTTTCACGCGAGTCGATTTATGTTTATTTTAAATTTCCTTCGTCTATGTATATATGAAAAAATAATACCCGTGCCTCAAGTCTTTTTTCTTTATCGATATAGGTTAATTGACGACGAGAAAGATACGCGATAAGCAGAGGTAGAATAACAGAGGTGAAACGGAAAAATTAAACGAAGATTCGATACGAAACACGCGTAGTTTGAACACTTTTACGTAATAGCGCTCGATCACACTTGTTGTTACGAGTGTAATAGAGTCCTGAAAATCCAGAGTTACATATCGGTCATTTGGATAGCGGATTAAAAGTTCCTACCGAATGACTGTGTCGTACTGTTTACGGAGGGAGGAAAAGAAGAGGCAGAAAAAATAATTAAAAAATTGCTTCAAAAAGTAAATTTTCTCTTCGTGGATACTGACCACTTTTTATTTTCTTTTTAACGTACGTTTAATGCGTCAGGAAACGGGAATATACATAAAGCTATCAAAAAAACCAAAATACGTAAAAGGGTTAGAAAATAATAACTTAGACTACGAGTTCGGTGGCTTACCATTTAAGTTCCGATAGCGTGTGCCATAGTTAATGGCAATGCTCGAACCACTTCGTCCGGATGCAACAAGGAATAACACGCAACTGAGACGGAAAGACGTCGACGAAAATGAATGACGAATTTAACCAGTGATGTTTACGTTTGGGTCTCATCTACCGAACAGCTCTCGCCGATGACACTCGTGTTTGGCCGGAATTCCGTACCAGCAGCTTCGCGTAATATGGTAGAAGGAATTAAACGTAAACTACCTGGTTTACCGTCTAGCATAATATATACTTAAGAGCTGTCTTATATTACGACGCGTAAATGCTTATGTATAGAAAGGCACGAAAACTATATACGGCTTTTATTTTTAAATAGGAAAGAGGAAGGAGGTAGACTAAATAAATAAGTAATTAGATAAATGTAGGAGATTAAATTAGACAAATTAAATTAGACGAGTTTCGCACAGTGACTAAATATTTTATTCTGTTCTGGGTTAGTAAACGAATACCCCTAAAATGAATCCCTTGCAGTCGTATAAGGGCGTGTCCCCTCTCCGTGGTGTGGTCTTCAAGTGCCAGGTAGCCTCTTGGGTCGAACCCGATCCTGATGTCTAAACATCCCCATTTGTCCATTGTTCTTGAACGTCTGCCATGTTTTTCTAGAAATCCAACGAAGAGTTTTTTCTGCCAGCATTGATGAAAGTTGCCTACGTAAATAAATAAATAAATAATAAAAATAAATAGCAGAAAGAAGAAGAAGGAGAAGGAGGAGGAGGAGGAGGAGGAGTGAGGCTATATATATTTTTACTTATTCGGAAATTATCCTGTACAATACTTATAAGAGCAATCAAAAAATTACAAAAGACAAAGAAAAAAAATTATTTTCTCCCCGTCGGGGAATCGAACCCCGGTCTCCCGCGTGACAGGCGGGGATACTAACCACTTTTTTTTTTTTTTAAATATACATTTATTATACCTTAATTAAAATACAGCGATATATGTATAAGAAAAACCAAAATGTACAAAAGGGTTACAAATGAAGACTTAGACTACCAGATCGATGGCTCCAACACGAAGCACTCGCGATCTTAAAACTAACCTTAAATTACCGCGCTTATCGCTATGAGATAATATAAACTTAAGAGCTATCTTATATCCAATCGCGTGTTTGCCTATGTACAGAAAGGCACGAAAACTATACAGACTTTGTTTATTTTATAAGTGGGTAAGGAGAAGGGAGAGGACTAGATTAATAATTAAGTAATAAATAAATAAATAAATAAATAAATAAATAAATAAATAGAGGGGCAAGAGGGATAGGAGGTGAGGGTATATGTATTTTTATTTATTCCAAGACATTTTGTACAATACTTATAAATAGAAGGAACTGAAAATTAAGAAAGACAAGGCGCAATGACGCAATTAAATAGGAGGGGGAAAAAAAAACAAAATTTTATCCTCTCCCCGTCGGGGAATCGAACCCCGGTCTCCCGCGTGACAGGCGGGGATACTAACCACTATACTAACGAGGATTTGTTGTTCGGTTTCAATAGTTTATTGGTTCATGATTGTTTACAATGATTGTTAACAATATGAATTATTTTAACGCAGTTCGAGCCACCAATATTTTTTTGACTTTTTACGGTGAGAATCTTCCCGGTCTATTTTTGATAATTTCGTGTTGATTTTCGTCGCGTTGTCAAAAATGTCGTCTGTGTTATACAGAATTGCCGTGTTGTCGGCTTTCCTATTCGCATGATAGATCAAGGGTACATTTTCGCTATTCTGGATGTACCCCTGACCATCGAGGTATACGAAAGCTTCTGGTGGCGTATATCCCGTGTGTCGGGTTTTCTCGAAATATCCCGGATTTGGATAAACGGAGCTATTGATTAAACTATTGCTTTTTACGTTTCTAATATTTGCCCAATGATTTCGTATCAATTTGAGCATGAACAGATCTATTCTGATTATTTCCGCGCATTCGTATAGTTTGTGATTACTAACGAGTTTAGTGAAATTTGACTCCGGAGTCCGATATTTGCCTAGACAAGCTCTGAGGCATTTTCTCTCGAAAACCCTGAGCTTCTCTATCGTACTTGCCGTTACGTTGAACCATACGGGGCAGCCGTATGTCAATATCGGTCTTACAAGTGTCTTGTAACAAATAATCTTGGTTTTCGCGCTAAGCAACTTTGAGTAAAACAGACGTTTGTGATTGGCGAATGCCCTTTGAGCTTTCTCGATCTGCGTTTGAACATGGTTAATAAAGTTTAATTTGTAGTCCAGATGTACACCTAGGTAACGAACCACCTTCTTATTCGCGATTTTTACCCGATCGTCCTTTCCGTCGTGCAACTGGAAATGTTTCGAGTGCGTCCGTACGTCGCAGTTAGCGTTCGAAATCCGTGAAATATAGGGCCGGAATAAAATTGTCTCGCATTTAGCGGTGTTAATCTTTAATTTCCACGTGAAAAAGTAATCTTGAATTTTGTCGAAAGTTTCTTGCAACCGCGTTTTTAGTTTCGAGGGTCTACTGTCTTTTATATAAACTAACAGATCGTCGGCGAAAGCTATTGCGAATTTGTCGGGATCGTTATTTAGGTCGTACATGCGGAGTAAATCGCTAATGTATATGCTAAACAAGATGGGGGAATTGACGGTGCCTTGCTGCAAACCATTCTCAATCGCGAAGGTTTTCGTGGACGAGCAATTGTTTTCGGTTACTACGAATTTTTTCCCGTGAAGCATATCCCAGATCATTTTGACAAGGTGCTGTGGGAAGCCTCTCTTTAGGAGTTTAAAGAAGAGGCCGTCCAACCACACCGTGTCAAAAGCTTTCTCCAGGTCTATGAGGAGCGCGCCAACGCATTCGTCGGCGTTTCTCGCCCAGCAAATGTCCGACGTGAATTTTGAAATCGCGTGTGTCGTAGAATGTTGGTGCCTGAACCCGAATTGCGTCTCAGGGATAACGCTATTCGCGTCGCAGTACGTCGTCAGTGCCGTATTTATCACAGTTTCGAAAACCTTACTAATATTCGCGAGAAGGCTAATCGGTCGGTAATCCGTGGGATTACTTCCGTCCTTGCCTTTTTTCCTTATCGTTATTAATTTTGCAGTCTTCCACGCGGTAGGGAAGTACATTCTATTTAGGCAATTGTTGAAAAGGATCGCGTAAATGTATATGTATCGCAGAGGCAGATTTTTGAGCGCGATATTAGGAACGTTGTCGAAACTGGAGGATTTTTTGTTATTGAGTTTTTTAAAAATGAGTTTCAGTTCTGTAAACGAGGTGAAATAGTCCGTGGGTACCCGCGTGTCTTTCGGATGGTCCGCCGTATTGTCGTCGTCGAACGTACATACCGTCTCGTCGTTCAGTTTGTCTTCCGCGGTGTCCCGTCTGAGTTGATCGATTTTCTGTCCGATGATATGGGAAAGTTGTTTCTTCCCCATATGCAAGTTGTTCGTATGTACAGTTTCAAAGTGAGTCCCGAGTACGTTTAGCTTGTCCTCTGTCTCTGTAACGAGTATGTCCCGTGGCGCGTTTGTCGCTCGAGCGTCGAATCGTACGTTCGTGTTCCGGAGGAGGTGCGCATCCGCCATGGGAATTTTTAACGTTCCTATGGCGTTTGCCTCCTTTGGTCGGAATATGCTGTTAATCGCGGGAAAGAACTTGGACGACTGGCGCGGAGATATTTTGGAAATTTTCGCTTTCCAGAAATCGT